CTAACATTAAAAAAAAAAACCATGAATTGTTATCTTCAGGTTAAGTTGAGCAGCTTGTATTTCTTTTAAGGATTCATACGGTTACTCTTGTGATTTTTTAATATTGCATACATATTAGTAGTCACATTTTTTGTTACACATTCAGAAACGTTTAGTAAGTGCCTATGATATAGTGGGGAATTTTGCTTGGTGCTAGGGTTACCAGGAATAAGATTGCTTCCCTTCTGCAAATGGCTTATATTGAGTTGGCCAAAATGTTTGGGTTCTTCCATCAGATCGTACAGAAAACCCAAACGAACTTTTTGGCTAACCCAATAGTTTCTATTAGAAATGGGAACACAAGTTGGCAATAATTAGTCCTCCTTGGGCAAGCGTGGCAAGGAAGACTCCACAGGAGAGATGACATTTGAGCTGAGTTTTTAAAATGGGTGGGTTTTTCTACACAGAAAAGATGAGACTGAAATAGGTGTTCAACAGACAAATGGAAGCAGACATTCTAACTAGAAATAACTGTGTGAACAGAGCAACATAAAGGTAGGAAAACAGCAATTCAGTGTGGCTGGAGGGTGGTATGTGAATGGAGCCATATTGGAGCAGAGTCAGGGGAGCATCAAAGACCCAATCGAGAATAATCTTTGTTATAATTGGAAGTTTGAGTTAATTCTTTAGGCACTGGGGGAGCCATTAAAATTTTTAAGCAAGAAAATAACAGAATGACTGGTACTGTGGGGGAGTGCTTTTTGTTTTTATTAAAAATCTACACTCTAGTAGAGAAGGACAGATGGATTGTTGTTAGTCTGGAGGCAGGGAAACCAGTAGATCAGTGCCATAATCCAAGCAAGACTGAAGGCTTGAAGTAATTAGCATTCTGTTAATAGAGATGGATGAAAGGATCTAAGGAAGCTTGCTGATGGGGGAATGAAGGGAAGAAAGCCATGAGATTGACCTCCTGATTTGCAACTTGTGTGACTAGGTAGATGGGCTAAGGCTGCTTTGGTGCAAATACAGAGGGAAACTGTCTAGGAACAACAGTGTTGAGTTCCCTGTGGGTAGATTAAGAACCTATTGGACATCCAGTAGGTCATTGACTATATGGGGTTGCAGCTAAAATTTTGGGAGTGTCAGCGTACAGTTAAAACCGTTGGAGTAGTGAGGTTGCCCAGGGAGAACGTTTAGAGGAAGAATTCTTAGACTAGAATCCAAATATCCTGAAATTACCCATTGTACCAAACATGTAACTTTTGATAGGGGAAAGTCTGTAGCTTTCTGGAGATTCTCAAAACAGACAAACACTTGTTTAGTGTGAAAAGGGACCAGGACAGAATCATCTTGAGTGACTACATTGTTTGAAGTGATGAGCAGAGATCTCAGCAAAGAAGTCAGAGAAGGAACAAAAATGAAGAGAGAACTATGATATCAAAGCCTAAGGAGTGGTCAGATGAGGACTGAGTTGGCTTGGCAGTTAGAAGATTGGTAAAATGTTCTAATAGACAAGATAAAATTAAATATTTATTTTGAAAGAGACTTCCTACAGAAACACCATGGTTTTTAAGAGTTGTTAAAACCATTGGCCTACAGTAAAGCTCAGACGCCTCAGTCAGGTGTTCAAGGCTGTCCCAGATTTGCTCTTCCCTTGCTGTTGCAGTTTAATCTCTCGCTTCAGTGTTCTAAACCTCAAAGCTAGCTAAATCTGTCACTTCACTGTTTTCTGGATACTTCATGCAAATCTTAGCTCCAAGCTTTGCTTGTGTTTCTCATCCTGCCTGCCCCGTGCCCTGCCCAACAAACGCTATCAGTCTTTCACAGCGTAGTTTGTTCTACTTCCTCTGTGCCTTTTTCTCATTGACCTATATTGATTTGCTTCTTTATGTTTTAGTGGTATTTATTGTCTTACTTTTTTTGGCCTTTAAAGTTGTACCACCTTGCATTGCTCTTTATTTTACATACTACTGCCTTCCTTTCCCAATGAGATTTTATACCTAAAGGCTAATACTATCTTACATCTCATCCCACCGCCTAGTGACTGAACTTCGACATGCTCATTATAGACACTAAAATATTTGAATGAATTTAACCTAAGCCAAACATAGTGGGGGAAAATGTCTTGAAGAAAAAATTTCATATGATGCATTCCAAATTATACAGGAGTGATTAATGGATCATTTTTATGACTCCACTCCATTTTTATAGGTAATCAAGAGTTGACTGCATGTCTGAATAAGATAGAGACATCCTGTGAGACTTAAAAAATTTTTGACTTTTATTTGAGAGTTCAGGGTATTGAAATCATTGCATTTAAGTCAAACTGATTTCTGTATAAAATTTATCTTATTTTTCAAAATGGAAATTTTTTATTTTAAAAGTAAAATGAGGCTTATAAAATGAAAGACAAATCTACAAAGTAGAAATAAAATGTTACTAATATTTACATAGCACTCATACTTTAGAAGCACCTTTACCATCCATAAGTTAAGTAGGTACAATGTAATTAACATTACAAAATAATCACTAAAAATGCACCTGACTCATCATTAAACAATATATTGTTTTGAAAGCAGACTTCGGTGGCTTCGTGTTTTGAGTGTTTCTTTCATTGTTTGCTGGCAACTTTTGGTGTATAACTCAGGACCATGGTAGGAAAGACTGTAGCAAGAAAAAAAAGAGGGCCAGGGTTGCACTGTTTTATTTTGGAATCAGAAAAATGTAACTTTTATTTATAATTAAAGGGAATAGGTAATGTGACATGGTGCCAAAGCATCCTCATTGTTACTGAGCATCTGTCTGCTAACAGCAACTGCAGACTGCAGTTACCTGACAGGAGGGAGCGGCCCATGTTAGGTTTAGTGAGCCGGTTTGACCAACACGTCAATATATGTCTAGGCTTTTTTCCCCTGGAATCATAGTATATATTTTCATAGAAGTATAGTTTTTGTGCATATGTTCATGCCATAATTTAGTCACTTTTTTTTTGACTAAACATTTTTACCATTTTCACAAAAAAGCAGAGCTCTTTTCATTAATAAGCATTATTGTGTACTGAGTAGAATATAATAAAACATGGAGATAAGCTCCCTGACTAGCCAAGTGACCTCCTGCAAGGCTGCCTTAATGCTTCTTACCCCATCGTGCCTCAGTACATTTTCTGGACCTGCCAGGTCATAATAAACTAGAACTAGTAAAACACCCTTACTTTATAATAAAACCTCTATTTAAAATTTCAGGGGAAATCAAATTATGCCAGTTAATTTTTTAATCAATATCTGTGAATTAAAATGCTAACTAAAAACCATAGAATGCAGTTTACTTACTCTATATTTCAGAAGACATTTTACCCTAGCACTCATGGGCTTATGTTTGCTATTCTAGAGAACAAAGAAAATTGAGACTTTACTTGAATAATTTATGTATAGTATGTACACTAGACTTCTGCCTGCCAATGCAGATGTAAGAGACCCAGGTTCGATCCCTGGGCTGGGAAGATCCCCTGGAGGAGGAAATGGCAACCCACTCCAGTATTCTTGCTTGGAGAATCCCATGGACAGAGGAGCCTGGCGGACTACAGTCCATGGGGTTGCACAGTCGGACACAGTGGAAGTGACTTAGCACACACGCACATACGCTGGACTGCCTTTTTAAAGAGAAGCTTAGTATAGCATTGGGAAGACACAGCCAACTCCTGGGGTGAGAAAGCAGGATTTCGGGTATCATAATGACCAACAGCAGTCTGAAAGATAAATCAAATATTTGATTTTTGGTGCTTTGAGGGCCTGTCACCTAATCCAGCCACAGGCGAGTCTCTCTGGAATTGTGCTGTTCAACAGAAATATGATACAAACTATAGGTGTATACAGTTGGCCCTCTGTATCCCCAGGTTCTGTGCCCCAGGATTTAACTAACTTCAGAGAGAAAATATTTGAAAAAGAGAAAGTTGCAAGGCAAAACTTGAATTTGCCCTGCGCTGGCAACTATTTATATAGCATTCACATTATATTAGATCTAGAGATGATTTAAAGTATACAAGTAGGCTCTATGCAAATACTATGCCATTTTACATTTGGGACTTGAGCATAGTGGATTTTAGTATCCGAGAGGAATCCTGAAACCAATCCTCTGGTGAATACCAAAGGACAACTGTAATTAAAAAAATTTTTCTCTCGTAACTGCATTAAACAAAATGGAAAGAGCCAGGTGAAACTTATTTCAATAATACATTTAATTTAACCCCAAGTATTATTTTCATGTGTAATCAATGCTTTTTTAAAAATTAAATACTTTATATTATTTTTGTGCTGAGTCTTTGAAGTGCAGTGTGTATTACACATAGAGCACATCTCAGTTTGGACCAGCCACATTCAGTAGCGACATGCAGCCAGGAATGCCCCGTACAGTTCACTCTAGAAAATGTAGGGAGGTGTGTCCTGGACATTAATGAAAAAGAACTTCCCTCATAGCCAGTGTAAAGTATTAAATTACAGACCTTGTTGTTCAGTCACCAAGTCGTGTCCAACTCTTTGTGACCCCATGGACTGCAGCACTCCAGGCCTCCCTGTCCCTCACTATCTCCTGGAGTTTGCCCAAGTTCATGTCCATTGAATCAGTTATCACAGACCTTAGAAGGTGCCTGCAGCTGTGCTGGCCAAGCAAACTGCTGACCTATGTCATAAATTCGTTTTGGTACAACTTATTTCCATATAAAGGTAAATACTGTTTTGTTTAACTTGATCACTGGTAACATATTCATGAATTTCAGTACTTTTATCTTTCCCCAGGTGTGACTCTTTTGCCTGTAGTCAAACATTATGCTATATCTAAGTTTTCTGTACATATTTTATGTAATGAAAAGAAAAACAGCTTTATGATTTGTATTTCATCTGCTAGTAACCTGTAGCTGTGTATTATGAACTTTATTAAGAAAAATAATAATACTCTTCAAGATATTAAATTATTTTCAGTAAATGGATATGTCATAATCTGATTTGCATTTTCTTTTATATTTTAAGGATATGGAATATTATCTTGTAAAATGGAAAGGATGGCCAGATTCTACAAATACTTGGGAACCTTTGCAAAATCTCAAGTGCCCATTACTACTTCAGCAGTTCTCTAATGACAAGCATAATTATTTATCTCAGGTAAAGAAAGGCAAAGCAATAACTCTCAAAGAAAATCACAGAGCCTTGAAACCTGCTGTTGCTGAATACATTGTGAAGAAGGCTAAGCAAAGGATAGCCCTGCAGAGGTGGCAGGATGAACTCAACAGAAGGAAGACTCACAAAGGAATGATTTTTGTTGAAAATACTGTGGACTTAGAGGGGCCCCCTTCAGACTTCTACTACATTAATGAATACAAACCAGCTCCTGGAATCAGCTTAGTAAATGAAGCTACCTTTGGTTGTTCATGCAGAGATTGCTTCTTTGAAAAATGTTGTCCTGCTGAAGCTGGAGTTCTTTTGGCTTATAATAAAAATCAACAAATTAAAATCCCACCTGGTACCCCCATTTACGAGTGCAACTCACGGTGTCAGTGTGGACCCGATTGTCCCAACAGGATTGTACAGAAAGGCACACAGTATTCGCTTTGCATCTTTCGAACCAGCAATGGCTGTGGCTGGGGTGTAAAAACCCTTGTGAAGATTAAAAGAATGAGTTTTGTCATGGAATATGTTGGAGAGGTACGGTCACCTTCTCTCATAGCAGATAATGTACAAGGAAGGTTTATGCTTTTGAAAAGTTGCCTTTTTAACCTCAGTGACAAACATTTGGTATGTTTTGATATTATTGCAAATATGTACAAACTTCAGGTTTGAAAGATGGGTTCACTGGCATCATTTAAAAATATAAACTTGATATGAATCAAAAAATTATATATAATGGCAAATGTAGTAGTCATCTTTCAACAAACACCCAGTCATAAATCACTGAAACTGGCATTTGTAAATTTGAAAATATGAAAACTATTTTTACACAAGAGTCCTAAGACAATTTTGAAAATCAGATCTAAATACATCCTGACTTGGAAACTTGCCGGGGTAGGGGGGGGTTACTTTTTAATTGGAGGAAAATTGCTTTACCATGTTTTGTTGACTTCTGCTGTACAACATCGCAAATCAGTCATAAATATATGTATCCCTACCCCCTCCCTCTTGCGGCTCCCTACCCCCATCCCACCCCTCTCGGTCAACACAGGGTAACCCGGCTGGGCTCCGGAAGCTGTTAAATTGTAATTCACTTCATCCATTTGACCAAATATGATTATGTGTAGTCGGCAAAACTCAATTTTACATCAGTAGGAAAGACTGTAGAGTAAATGGATGTTTTATGAGCAAGTACTGTAAAATACACATAAACACATGTATTGCAACCGCCAGCAGTGAGTGAATGAGTGAAGTGGCTCAGTTGTGTCCGACTCTTTGCGACCCCATGGACCTGCACCAGGCTCCTCCGTCCATGGGATTTTCTAGGCAAGAGTACTGGAGTGGGTTGCCATTTCCTTCTCCAGGGACCTGCCAGCAAGGAACATCCAAATCCTTTGTAACTCAGCTACAAAGACTGTTCTCTGAATTACCAAATACTAAGCAAATTTTTATACATTCAATGTAGATATACAGAAGATAGTATTTACCGCATACTATTCTAAAGCACCTTGTGTTTTAACTTATGAATTCTGTCAACAACTCTATGAGGTGGTAGCATTCTCTTCATTATTATACAGGAGGAAACTGAGGCACAGAGAAAAATTAAGCAACTCACCCAGGGTCACTTAGTAGTAACAAAGAATCAAGATTCAAAACCAAGCCTCTAGAATCTTGACCCCTGCACCATTCTTTCCCAGACTGAATGGTGGGAGAGGCTGTGGCTAGAAAAATACAAGTGTGACTGCCTCTCTGGGGTTGTCAACTCAGATATTTTAGAAGTTGTTTGGAATTGGATAACCTTTAAGTATCTGCATTCACCCAGAATTCTCAGGTCAGATTGCATCCCTATTTTTATCCTTAAATTTTTAGACAATGGAAGATTATTATAAATCACTATTCAGGAGACTGGATCTCATATAATCAAATCATTCTCTTTTTGAGTTTAATAAATACAACTGAATTTGGTTGCCACCATGAATCACTTGAGACATTTTTGGTTTCTTAATCTGAGCATGTGGTGAAGCTGTGTTCTTCAGAGCAGAACTGTATAAATGATGGTTGTGAGCTGCAGAATTTCATGAAAACCACCTATTCTACAAAACTAAACTTGCCATTCAGTTAACTGTGGATTTAGCGTACCTTCTCTCCTGTATTTGCAACTAATTTCCATTTGTAACTACACACAGATTAATTATAGGAAAATTATGCTTTAGAGCACAGATACTTGTAAACTTAGTTCTTTACATTCTGGTGTGTTCTACAGAGAGCTATAGTTGTGTAGCTCCTGTATTGATATATTGAACATATAAATAAATTAGAACCAAAGTAGTATACTATTTCAGCTTGGTAATTGTTGGGTTGTCCTAATTCTCATTTAAATAGTCATACTTAGCATCCTCATTTTCTCCTTTCGTTTCCCCACCTCTTTTCATCTAGTTTTTCTAGAGTAAGTTTATGTAAATGTTTATTTTGATGGCATTTTTATTTCTTTTTATGCACTTAAAGGCCATTAATATATTAATAGATTTATGGATGAATGTTTCTTCACTTAAGCAACAGCTATATAATATACTATAGTTTTTTCTTTTTAGGTAATCACCAGCGAGGAAGCCGAGAGACGTGGGCAGTTATATGACAACAAAGGAATCACATATCTCTTTGATCTGGACTATGAATCTGATGAATTCACAGTGGATGCAGCTCGATACGGAAATGTGTCTCATTTTGTGAATCACAGTGTAAGAGATACTTATTATAGACAGGACTAGGACTACTTACTATAGACAGGACTAATTAGTACTGTTTTAAACGATTTTCTGTACTTGAGGGATAATTATATACTTTGTCATTTTTTCCAAAGTATTTTAATACAAGGGCCTTTTCTGTTAATTCCTGTTATTACTGCTCTTTTCGGAAAATTCATCAATGTGCTTATCAAATACCATCCATTTTAAGAATCTTTACATGTATTACTTCATTTAAACTTTCCAACAACTTTATAAGATAGGTATTATCCTCATACAGAGAAGGAAATTAATCACCAGAGGAGTTAAGAGGTAATAAGTTGAAAAATTAACACCGCTATATGGGTTATAGAAGTTAACACAGCTAAATTTAGGATGTATGACTAAAGAAAGATTGCTATATTCTCTTAAAATGTAAACATGTTAACATTTTTATAAAATTTTAGGATTTCTAGAGTACTGAAGTATTTAGGGCTACTTTTCCAAATTATGAATTAGTATTCTTAATTCTTATTTAAAACAAACTTAGAATACAGTTAGAACCTTAACTCCAAAAACTTACACTCTAAAAAACTACACTCTATAAAAACTATAAGGGAGGTTAGGAGTTACTAGACACCTATTTAGTGCTCGATGGATAACAGTTTTAGGCTTGTGAGATTGGCATTATCTCCATTTTATAGATATAAGAAAAATGTGTCTCAGAGAGTAAGTCCTATAGTTGACCACAGAAGGAAGGTAGACCATGCTAATCTTTTGATGGGTTTTTATACCAAGAAACTAGTTTATGATGAGTAATGAAATACCAGAGACCTTCTGACATCTTAGTTTCCTGGTTTACTTAAACATTTAATTTTTTCTTAATGATAAAATCAAAAGGCTTTCAAAATAGATACTCTATTCAAGGACAATTAAACAGTCATTTTTATTTCTTAGTATGATTCACTGGATCTTTCTTGCATATTCTAGAATTTAGTGTAGAGTTCTCAAAATACTGAATAATTCCAATCAAAAGTTTTAAGAAATGAAATTCCATGCAGTATGAAATTGCATGATTTGATTTTTTAAGAACAGTTACTGCAGTTCTTTAAGCCTTACTAGAGCATCTTTTAATTTTAATAATCTATTTCTAGATGTTCTGCTTGGGCCTTTTTTGACTTTCTAGGCTTTTCAATAAACTTTTGGTACAGTAGTCCCTGCTTATCTGCAGTTTCACTTCCCATGATTTTAGTTACTGCTGTCAAACATTCTCCAAAAATATTAAATTAAAAATTTTAGACACAAGCAAAAAATATTTTTATGCCTTACTAAAATATTTACAGGTGAGATATTATCTAATACTTGCATTAAAGTTCTCCAGAAACAATTAAGAAGTTGGGATTAGATGAAACAAGAATGACAGAAATGTTAATAATCCTTGAAGCTGCATAGTGGATGTATGTGAACTTATTTTCTCTTGGTTTATGTCTGAAATTTTCTGTAAGGGAATGCTGTTTTTCAGTGTGAATGCCTCAAAACCCTCTAAACAGTAAGCCACTTAATTTCTCATAGAATTTAAGACTAATGCTCCGGGAAATTAATGATTTTACATAGCATATAGAAGAGCTTATTCATGTCATTTTTACTTAAGTGGGTTCTCATATTCCTTTTTAGTGTGACCCAAACCTTCAGGTGTTCAATGTTTTCATTGATAACCTCGATACCCGTCTTCCCCGAATAGCATTATTTTCCACGAGAACTATCAATGCTGGAGAAGAACTCACTTTTGATTATCAAATGAAAGGTATGATTTTCAAATAGTTTCTTTGATGGAACATCAGTGTGAAAAATCTAATTAGAATAGAAAACCTTAGAACATCTGAACCAAACTAAATACTAACTAAATAGAAAGGGAAAAAAAGGCTATAAGAGTTTGTCTTTTCAATCAAGGGCACAAAGCTAATCTGACAGAGCTAATGCTAGAATCCAGGTCTGCCTGACCTTGGGGGCTGAGTAATGCTGTTTCTTTACATCAAGTTGCTGCCTGCTTTTTTCAGAACTTCCATATAGAAGCTTATTTATTATAAGATCTTTTTTCAATATTACTTGTATTTAAAAAATTTTCAGCCTTACATTTCTGAATGTTTACTGAGATGTGTATTCAAAAGATTGAAAATATGATGTAAATCATATATGAGCTTACTCCATTCCTACTTGAATCTGGCTTTTAAAAAGAACATTGAATTCTCTTTGCTTTACTGTGAACATTTAATTTTATGTGCTTTACTATATTCTTTGCTTAGGAAAGAAAACTCATACTGTTTTTTCTAAGTATGATGCCCTTTACATATTGTTACTATTTGACCTTGCTTTACGGCTCTTAGGAAATTTATGAAATGAATGCTTGTATATTGAATTTTACTAGTAAGTTTCATCATTTCACAAACCCATCCTCATAAACATGGGGTAATAACAGACACTTTGCCTCTGACTTGCCCACACCATCCTTTCATGACATTTCATAATGATTTGTCTCTGAATATTCACACTTATAACTGATAAAAAATTTGAAACTCATTATGAATTGTCTTAACTCTTTGTCCTGTACTTCTTTTTCTATGTATCCAGGTTCTGGAGATGTATCTTCAGATTCTATTGACCACAGCCCAGCCAAAAAGAGAGCCAGAACTGTGTGCAAATGTGGAGCTGTGACTTGCAGAGGTTACCTCAACTGAATTTTCAGGAAATAGAACTTATGACGATTACAGTGTTTTTTCTAATGTTAACATTTTAAAAGTATTTCAGACTTTTTTCATATTATCAAGATTATACACTACGATGATTTACAATTCATCTTTCAGACTATTGGCCAAATGCGTTACTGATACTTTTGAAGAGAGGCACATAGGATCACATACACTAATTCTAAATATACATATTCAGTGGTTAGATACCAAACATGAAAGGAAAACTATTTGCAGATCAACAGATATATACTTAAGAGGAAGTCTGTGAATATAGAGAAATGCCTCCTTCGGTGTTTGTTAAACTGATGATGTAACAGTTGCTAAGATTGAACATTCAATTTGCCATACACCTTGAATTTAAAGAAATAGAGTTAATTCATATTGGACAAATACACAAGTTCTATTTTTGTTATTGTCATTCCTGTTTACCTACTTACAACTCTTTGTACTTGTATTTGAGACAAATAGGTGATACTGAATTATACTCTATTTTCTACTTTCATTAAAACATTGGTATCTTAATGATATAGAAATTTAAGGTCTAAAATTAAATGTAAAAAAATTTAATTGCAGCTTGATTTAATATTTTGAAGCAATCTAGACCAGTAGGAGGGGTGGATATCTGAACCAGTAAAAGATTTTTTAATCTTGTAGAAGAAAGGTTTCTGAAGTTTTCCTAAAATTCTAGAATGGCTGGCTGATACGCTTCTTAGAAAGGATGAGGCATGGGGCCATGCATGTCTTTTGGAGTGCCAGGCAGGGGAGATGGAGCACTTTATAGGACCCTCTTAATAACATGAATCAGGCGATCTCTGATGAATACCTCTGGTCTCCACAGTAAAAACAAGATCTCTCTTAAGAGCAGCCGTATGTAATAATAATGTTCCACACAATAATTAACATTGCATCTTCTGAAGTTCAGGTAGTTTTAACATTTCCTTGCCACTAAATTATTTTTATAATAAAGGGCCTGCATGCCTTTCTTAAGAAGTGATATATATTTTGAACTGATACTTATTTTATACATGAATTTTTTTCATGTGATAAAGCTAAACTTGGCTTGGCCAAAGTGTGTGCCTGAATTATGAGACCATTTATTACTTGAACTCTGAAGACTGAAGTGACTATATTCATTGTTTGGGGTGGGGGGTTGGTTTTGTTTTTTCCTACATAGTGAAACCTAAGTTGGGAAAAAAACTGTTTTCATCTCCCTCAGATCCTGGAACGTCTAATCATGGTGTCCAACATGACAGTGAATATAACAGCTAAGTCTGGCTTTTGGTATTCCTAATTAGGTCCTGCCAGGGCTCACTGCCTGAGGCTTTAATGACCCACAGAACCCTTGAGTAAAACTGAACTGACTTCAAGAATGCAGCATTTCACATCTTAATCCTTCGCTTCTCTTCTTGGGAGAAGCTGCACTTTGTTAATATTGCTGTCACAGGACTTTGCTTTTTCATAGTACAGGGTGAATTGTTTACATGTTTGGAGCCTCAGAGTATATCTGCTTACCAAAATTTGGAGGCGTCAAGGAGAAAAATATTTTTTAATGCCATTTCTTGTTGTTCTTGATAAAAAATAGTCACAAGGTGTCAGTGGTTTTTAAAAAAAAGTCACAAATTTACAGCTGCTCCCAGGGGCCTGACTTACTTTGAATTATAATTCTCACAGGTTCAAGATGTAATTGTAACATTGGTCAGTGTTTTACTATCTAGTTATTTGATCTTGTCTACTCTGTGTTAAAGAAATGTAAAGCTGGAGAACAAAGGGAAGAATGACTATTTTCGGTAAACTAGCATTTGGTCCTTATAGAAATGTAATGAGCTTTTGACATTTTAAATACCCACTTTAACCGTGAGTCGTTAGAATACCTGAACTTAAGTAGTAAAATAATAGAAAATAAATGAAGCTGTTAGGAGCTTTAACTATTTTAAGTCAACATCTAGCTTCTTGTTTCCTAAGTTGTCAGAATTTGTTCTCTCAATATCAAACAGATATGCAAGGGTAATATTTAGATCAAGTTTACAATATTTAGATCAAGTTAATGCTGTAAATTAATCCACTGTCAAGTTGTATTGATAACACTGTTTTCAGTATCTACAGAAAAAGATTCTGACACACAGTTGGTAAGCTCAGGGTTTTTTCCCCCACATATGCACAAAATCTAGATTGCACTTACTTATAGTAAGCAGTTTCTCTTAGTAAAATAAATTTAGTTTAGCATTTGGTTTTCTTTTATTATACCTTAGCTTTATTTCTGAATATTTTACTGTCATTTTCAGTAAAGCTAAAGGGGCAGAAAATTATTGATGTACTCCTGACTACCTGTTACTGAGATTAACCAAAGTTTTATACCATTCTTTTAAATATTACTTTTAAGAAAGTTTTATTATTGTCATGGCTCATGCATTTGAATATTAAAGTACCATTTTATGGTACTTTATGCTAAAGTACTTAGCATAAGGTAGATGGATGCATGAATTTTTTGAGCATTATTAGTCACCAGGCACTTACGCAGTTTTGCTAAGTACTGCCTGGAAGTGCAGAGGCCGTTTAGAATTAGAGCTGATAACCTTTGAGTAAGTCTCAGGCCCTGTGCATGTCCTGTGCTTCTCATGAGTCAAGGACGCTGGTGCTGCCTTCCCTAAACATACTGAAGACATGGGCTCAGACTGCCACGGTTAACGTTAACATCCCCACAATCGGAAACTACACTTGACTGCTTTTAACATACTTGACCAACTTCAGGCAGACGTGTTTTTGTTTTTTTTTTTTTTAATCAGTTTCTACTGTTAAACAAACTGCGAAGTCCTGGATTCCTCTCTAAGGAAATGTGGCTAGCCATGGGTTTCTTTTGTGATAATATACCTTGGCATTTTGAAACTTTTTCACTTATTTTATACATCACAGTTCTTGAAGTAAAACTCAAATAGCCAGTGTAATGAATCCTACCCACTTTATGCTCTTCTTGAGAGGCTTCAGTACCCAGTGGTTAAGAGCATGGCCTGGGGGCCCTGAGTGCCTTGTTTGAGTTCTGGCTTCACATCTTACTAATAAACTAACCGCTCTGCCTCAGCCTCCTCCTTTGTGAATGCAGATGTTAAGTGTGCTTACCTCAAAGGGTGCTTGTGAGGAGTAAAGAGTGTGTGAAAGAATTAAGCCTTGTTGCAGAGGAAGTGCCATATATCAGTATTAGCTGTAATTATTCTGTACTGTAAAACATGGTGATCACTGCAGGGTTTTTGATCAAAGTCTGTTCTAGTACTCTTAGCCATTAAATACATTCAGCTAGCATTTATTATGCTAGAATCACATATAAAACAATATATTAAATTGATGGTGATAATACTGCAAATATATTCAGAAGAATGTTTACAGGCATGTTTTGAACACCCACCTTGGATCATAAGCTCTACTGTTAAGAGGACGTCTTAAGGGTCAGTGAATATGTACAAATGCATACAGTAGTTACATTTGACTATGTGACTTATGATAATTGAAGTATAATTAATTTCTAGAGCTAAAAATTAAAAATGAAGTCTCTGGGTTCCTGTAATAGGCCGGTTGTAGTTATGAGAGTTGAACATCTTGTAGTTGCTACTGGTTGTCTCTAGTAACTTTATTCAGGTTGAATTTAGGTAATGGTACTCATAGGGGAGCTGCGCAAAATAGAATAATATATAATTCTTCCCCAGTCACACTGAGTCTGTAGAGTGTATTTCATCAAAAGCTCAGGGTAGCGTCTGAGCTAGAAAAAAGGTTCCGTGTCCCCTTAAACCTCTGCATTCTTCAGCTCCTTCGCCGGCAGCTATATTATGATGCTCAGCCCAGTCTCTGTTGATGTACATATTAATAAACTAATTGTTGAGTAATTTAGGACAAAGACGTGCTGTAAATTATGATTCAACATATTCCTCAAAGAACAGAAAGGAGTAGCACCAGCCCCCCAGCTATCAGCCCTGAGCCTTATCACGTTGGGTTACCCCTCTCTGGTGCCAGTTTCTTAGCTGAAACTTAAAAGTCACTGTCCAGTTTTCCTCCCATGTAAATAGACATGGGCTAATTTATCCTCCCAGCACTTGGGAATGGAAAATTCCCTTCTGGACAAGTGAGAGGGCTAGCTTCCTAGGTCCACTTGGTATTGGCTCCCCTAAACACCCAGTTTATTCTCCTCTTCTGTGGATTCTGTTGTATAACCTTAATTAGTCTTGTGGATTCAGTACTTATTTTTGGTTTTTCTACAATGCAGCATGGTGATAATGCATTTTAGTTTCATTGATCTGCAAATTCGTTTTTAGAGACTCCACTTAAGTGAAAGCTCTGCTTTTGCTTTCTTAATACGAAATATCAGCAAACCAAAATGTTTATGAATACCATAAACACTTGTGAATAAGTATATTAAATATACATACATAACTATGCAAAAACATAACCTACTGGTGAATTTTAAAGAGGTTGAATGCCTTTTAAGTATTTTCTTTAGGTTTTAATTTTAACACTGTCTTCCCCCAACATTCTTAAAGATGATGGAACACCTGAGGTAGGTAAGGGGCTGACTTTCTTCTGTAGCCATCAGTTTACAGTAATAGATTCAAGCTTATAAGTTTGAAGTGTGTTTATGACCTGGGATATGATCCATCGGTGAACGTCGTCCTGTGTGAACTTGAAAAGCTTGTATTCTGCTGTGAAGTGTCCTTTTACCAGTTAAATCCAGCTGGTTGAGGGTGCCATTCAGTTCTTCCATATCCTTGCTTATTTTTCTAAACTTATTCTGTTATAGTTGTAATCGTGCATTAGTTTGTCTTCTTTGTTTTCGCTTTGTGTATTTAAACGTTGTTAGGCACTTACTCATTTAGGATTCAATTCTGTCTCAGTGACCTGGACCTTTTAACATTAGAGTATAGACACTGCATCTTGAAGTAATGTTTACAGGGTAAAGTCTTCCATTCTTTCACTGGTACACCTACCCAAGTCTTTTGGAGTCAGTTTCATATAGGCAGTATATAGTTGGTTTACCTTTTTCCCCCTATTCCCTTGTAATTATTGATATGTTTTGGACATGAGTCTGAGCAAACTCTGGGAGGTAGTGAAGGACAGGGAAGCATAGGGTGCTGCAGGCCACTGGGTCACAGAGAGTCACACACAACTTAGTGACTGGAAAACAGTTGATGTTTGGATTTAGTTCTCCTATGTCATGTTTTCTGTTCTATTTTTCAGTCATCCATTTCCTCTTTACTGCCACCTTTTAGGTAATAGGATCATTTCTAAGTATTCCATTTTTATCTATTATAATTTTGACTGGTATCTGTTAGTATAGATTTTTTAGTGGTTGCTCTAGAATGAAATAAGCCTTTTCTTTTTTCAACTACTATACTCTCCCCTGTTGCCAACTTCTCATATAAATACTGTAAGTGTTCTTGTTTAGGAAGCTCAGCTTCTGGAGTGCAAGGAATTTCAAAATCAGAGGAGCTTTGTGAATCTGCACTGCTGCTAAGAGTCAATGGCCTCATCTCCTGAAGCATCTGTTTCCCACTGCTTAGAGTGGTGGTTTCTCCAGCACTAGGAACTATATTTACATCTTGATCTCTGCTTTTGAAATCCGAGTAAGTGTCCTTTAGGCAAAGTACATTTTGTTCTGGCTGAGGGGCAGGAATATTCTCTTTGATTCCTGGCCTATAGACCCCTTTGTTCAAGGAGGTAACATCCCCACTGTTTCTGTCCTGGGAAGATAACAGAACAGTGTCCGATTGGCTGTCCCAACCTTGACTTCCTTGTTCCGATATGTGTGTTGACTGAGAGGAGGCCTGGGAAGAAATGTGCGTTGACTCCCCATCAGAATCACTGAAAAGCTTCGGGGACTGGGAACCCCCCGCCTCTGTGGAAGATGGGAGGTTTTCCAAACAGTCGTCTGTGCCTTCAGCATCTCTTTTAAAGAACACTTCCCACTGCGGTACTTCCCCATCGGCCCTCTGCTGGGGCTGGAGGACAGGACCTGTGTCTCTTTGAGCTGATCCTGGAATTTCTGATTCTTCACTTTCACTGTTGGATTCCTCACAATCTATAAAGTTTGCCCAAAGGAACGTTGGCATACTCTCTGCTTTGAAGCATCCTGTGCTTTCTCTCCATTTTTCAGGCTGGTTTTGAGATATAGCAGGTGTGGGAAATACCTCAGGGTGAAGAGTCTGCTGGCTTGGAACCTTGTGCCTTAAAGGTGCCGGCAGAAGATCATCAAAGAGACCATCGTCATCTTCCTCCTCTGTGAGACAAACAGAACAAGGTGTGTAGGTGACAATGCAGAAGGAAACCAATTCATGCTTTTAATTAAAAATCCAGTTTGCAGCACTTAGCTGCATTTTTCAATTCATAGAATTGCAAATAATGGGAATTCACTCTTCTTCCAGGAGAAGTTAAAAGGTCGCTTATTCTTGGGATATTCTGAACAATCTGACCTACCAGCCTTCAGCTTGTCATAAAGCCAGGCAGTGAGTTGAGACTAGAGATCTGCGCTCCCCTCTGATTAGAGAGTCTTAATCAGTGGTTCTTATCTGGAGAGCTTTTTAAATAAAATAGCTTTCTACATTTCATTTCAGACCTACTGAGTCCCTGAAAGTAGGACCGAATAATCTATTTTTTAAGTTCTACAGCTGATTCTCTACATCAGTTTGGCTTTAAAACCATCTATACTAGGAGAGACATTTGCAGACTCTTTGTGCTCAGCCAGTAGATGTTCAATGCATTGGCTGATTTAATAGACAATTTTTTTCTAAAGTTTTCCTCCTATGAGCATTTTTTTGATATCTGTTAATACTTCATGCATGTTACAGGCTAAATGTCTGTATCCTTTCAAAATTCTTAATTTCTAACTATGGTGGTATTTGGAGGTGGGACCTTTAGAAGATAATTAGCTCATGGTGGGGAGGGGGAGGAACACATGTGATGGGATTAGTGTGAGGAGAGGAAGCAGATTTCTCACTTTCTCCAGACCCATGCACAAAGGAAAGGCCACGTGTGTGCACAGTGAGAAGGTGGTACAAGCCAGGAAGTGGGCCCCCACCAAGACCCAGACCTTGAGCTTCCTATCTTAGCACTGAGGAGACAGGCCTGGAGAAGGTGTGTGACAACGCAAGGGTCAAGACACCAGACGTGCGGGTTGAGGGAGGAAAGCCAGCTCTTAAAGTCCAGGGTTCTGTTACAACTGATAATTGTTCAAACAAGCAACTGTTTATCTTCTACTCATCTTCTAAAGGACTTACGGTGACTTAAGATGTCTAGCTGCTGTATCTGTAGTCATCCTAATGTCCAAGTTATGGCTTCATTTTAAGCCAGGGATTAATACATTTGTTACAGCTCCTTCACAATGTGCCAAAGTTACCTTTCTGTGGAATGTGTTTGTATCACCTATAAAGCTGGACAGCTTCGTGTTCTGAATCAGTGACTATATCAGTATCATGGTATGTTTCAACTGTAAAAATAATCTGTCAGAACATTTTCACATTATTAACTCACCTGTATGTGTCTGAAAAAAAGTAAAATTTCTATGCTATTAGAAGTTTATTTTTACATTATTCTATGCTATGACTATAAAAATTTGAAATTTCTCTCTCTGAAAATGGGAAGGCATATAACAAAACATAAGAAATTTTTAAGTGTTGAAATGCTTAAAACATTTACCCAAACTGATAAGACACCTAAAGCCAATAAAAAAGGATGAAAGTCATAATTCACAGCTACTTTCCAACCATCATGTACTATTGATGTCTGTGTAAACAGGTATAATCAATTTGGCGATATGTATCAAATACTGTAATTTCTACAATTCAATTTAATCCTATAATAATAATGAGAGCTGTGAAATAGACTTAACAGATAATGTTCATCACAATATTTATAAAACTGAAAAGTTCAAAATAACCTAAGTGTACAGTGACAAAGATCAAATATACCATGGCATCCAATAGATGTGTAGAAAGGTGAGAAAATAAAACCTATAATAAGGAAAAGTCAAAATTGACCCAGAAATGATAAAATATGATAGTAAATCCTCATGATCTTGGATTAAGCAATAGTTTTTCTTAGATACAACACCAAAAGCAAAAGCTATAAATGGAATTTGATAAATTGGGCTTCAACATTGAAATTTTTATACTTCAGAAGACACCACAAAGACAGCTTTCCCCAGACCATAGCACCCTGAAAAGCAGCCTTGCAGGGAAACCCATATCCAGGATGCCAGGGTCATTCTTCCTACCTGAGTCTAGGTGGATTGTTCTAGCTCTCTTCAGTTTTCCAAGTGGTTTATACTTGGGTTCAGTACTTTGGGAAGATCGGCATAAAGGCTTTAAGCTGAAATAAGAAGAGTATTTTATTTTTCCTGTTGGAAAAGCTGCTGGAATATAAGTGTTATAGAGGTTATGAAAACCTGACTATGGGGGGAAAGCCATACCACTACTATTAAAAGCAGAAAAGCAATGTTTGATAATCAGAAATTACTTTCCTGTAACAAAGTGGTAAATACAAGCATTTAAACAACCTAGTAGACCTCCATCTAATTGTAGGACTGAGGAGAGCAAAACTTTTCTCTTTGTTTTTGCACTGCAGAAAAGCAGGTCCCTAGCCTAATAACTAGTAAACTTAATAGAGGAACACCTTCTGGCATTCAGGGAATTTCAGTGTCACATCAGCTTCCTTCTGCCAGATTCCCAGAAGCCTTTAGGATTATGTAGAACACACTTGCTTGAAGAAAGCCTATGTGCTCCTAAACAGCCTGCTTCACATCCTTGCTCCCACTTTCAGCCCAAAACTACTCTCTGGGTCCATCCCATTCAACAACATAAATGCCACAGGTAGTCCACTCACATTTCTTTAACTTTATCCATAGTTGTGCCTAATGGGATGACATTTGGATAGACATTCACAGGACAGATGTAGCTCAAGAAATCTTTAATCTGGAAGAAGGAAAACAAAATGCATCAGTTATCTCTCCCATGAAAACCCTGGGTTGTTAAAGAAGAGCAAAGCCAGGAGAAGCTGAAATCTCTCAAGACTGTGGCTCCCAACATTGGCTGCACCTGAGGAGTGTCCAGGACCTCTCAAGAAGAGATGCACAAGGTGCAGGCCCTATCCCCAAAGATCCCCTAACACTGAGCTGCAGTGGGGCCTGGGAAGCAGTGATTCCGGTTGCCAGTAAGGTGTGAGACTCACTGATGACTGGGATTCAGAGATTCTGTCCTTCATACGACATTAGTTTCCATACCCATAGTGACCATTAGGTCACTCACCCATAGTAAATATCTCTCCTTGCAGGAAGTTGGAATTTAGCTGAGTATTTAATATGCAAAAGGAAACAAGGTCTTCAAACTGCATTCCTTTCCTCTGACGTGTAATTGTTAGCAATACACCAAGAGGAACTACATCTTTGAGATTGCCTGATTTGTTCTCAGGATTTATTCTAAACAAGGACAATGACATGCAAACATGTCATTCATGAATACCCTCTGCAAAGCTCGGAATGCTAAACAAGAACTTTCACGATTCCTCAAAACATCTTAGCAACCCAGACAGCCTTCTGCTTTGTCACTTACTAGATCTTGGTGAGCTTGTGATCTCTGTCAAGTTACCTCATGTCTCTTCAATTCTTCATCTAAGCGTATAAATGACATAATACGTGTGAAGTGCTTAGCCTGGTACCTGCTGCTGCTGCTGCTGCTAAGTCGCTTCAGTCTTGTCCGACTCTGTGCGACCCCATAGACGGCAGCCCACCAGGCTCCTCTGTCCACAGGATTCTCCAGGCAAGAACACTGGAGTGGGTTGCCATTTCCTTCTCCAATGCATGCTAAGTCGCTTCAGTCATGTCTGACTCTGTGCGACCCCATGGACAGCAGCCCACCAGGCCCCTCTGTCCACAGGATTCTCCAGGCAAGAATACTGGAGTGGGTTGCCATTTCCGTCTCCAAGCCTGGTACCTAGCACATGGTTAAATATTCAATAAAACTATTAGGGGTTGGTCATGACAACACAAGGATCTTTCTTTCTTTCTGCACATGGGGAGACTGAGGCACAAAGTAAGTATTAGCACCCAACTCTTTCAAGTAAAGCACCACAAGAGGTAAGGAACAGCAGTTATTAATAACTCTGGATTAAAAACAGGAAGCTTAATTAAGCCTAGGGGAAAGACATCCATTCTTCGGCTACTTTTCATAAACAATTTCATTTGCACTTTCAGAGCAGGCATGCAATGAAAAACCATTGTTACCTGTCCACAACCTATATGATTTGTATAATCAATCCAAAATTGAGGCTGGTAGAAATCTGAGGCTTTTGGAGGGATTAAGAATGAAGCAAGGAAGGTCAGACCTACACACCAGAAACGGTCCAGGGAGACAGACACCCAATGCACTCTCCTGCTTGTCCATAAAGTCACTGCGAACAGTGGACCACTGTTCCTGGTCGAGTAACTACAGGGTTCTTGTGAGCCTCTAGTCACAGCACCTTGTCAACCAATCAAACACACAATCTTGCTTTATGTGAGCTTCTCTTTAAAGACATCTTACATAATATATATTGTTGGTCCATGGACAGTGAACTCAAGGCCAGTGGCTCTGTAACTCACAAATTAACAAAAATCAAACAGGTACCTCCTCCATAAGGCACACTGCAGCCTCCGTGCGCTTAGGAACACTTGACAGCACTTCAGCATTACACCTAGGGGCTCTTTCAAACAACAAAATCACCCCAAAAGCACAAAAATGTGGAAAATGCAGCAGTAAATAGTGAAAAGGACACTTGTTTACAGTCTGTGAGCTGAAACATGAAGGCAGGAGGCCACCATGTGCGACCTGAGTCAAGAATGTGCGTATCAGGCAAGTCCAACCCTTTGCTTCCCGGGTGTACGTGTGTGCAAAGGACCACAGAGCACCATGCGCACTGATGTAAGGGTTCAGACAAGTGTCAGTGAGCGGGCGGGTTTGTGATGAGGAATCCACGAATGATGAGAATCAATAATACTTGGGGGGGCGGGGGAAGGACATAGAAAATAAACCTGTGATTACCAAAGGGGAAAGGGGGTGGCAGAGGTATAAATGAGGAATTTGGGATCAACAGATACACACTATTATGTATCAAATAGGTAAACAAGGACTTGCTGTATAGCACAGAGAACTATATCCAGTATTTTGTAATAACCTATAGGGGAGAAGAATCTGAAATGAATGTGTGTGTGTGTGTGTGTGTGTGTGTGTGTATTATATATACACACATACAAATAACTGAATCACTTTGCTATACATTAGAAACTAATTAGAAACTATTAGAAACTAATACAACATGGTAAACTAACTATACTTCAATATTTTTTTTTTAGAAGAATGTCATTACCTGGAACTGTTCAAACCATTACCATGCCCACAGCTCACTGCTGCAGAGCAGCAGTACCTCCAATACAAAAAATAACCATTATCAGGGAAATGCATTAAGTGCAGAAATGGCAAAACTAAAATCATATATGACAAAGTGTCATAAAAAGCCAGCTTTTTCTCCAATATATGAAATTACTGAACCCCTGCACTTGTAAGATGCTAGCATTTACTTTGGAAATGCTTGAGAATTTTGCAAATAAATTACGTATGTCGGGCTCCCATCCTAGTAGGTCAATATCCTATATAAAAAGTATCCTCACATAACCATATTAAGTCCTCTTCAACTGAGTAATTCTACTATACTGATCCTTACTAAGGACAGAGTGTATACCCCAATCAGCTTTGTTCTTCCACACTTGTGAATATTGAGGACTATTTTTTAAATGGCTTTTCAGTACAATCAAAATCCGGAAGGGGCCAAGAATCTGGCCAGTACAAGGTAGTCTATCATGAGGTTTTATCTGCAGTGCTCCTTCAAATAAGATTTCAGATCTTTTTTCACTCTTTCTTTTTATTGAAGTACTCCTTCAAAGAAGATTTAAGATTTTTTCAATTATTTTATTGAAGTATAGTTTATGTACAGTATTATATGTCACAGGTATACAATGTAGTGATTCATAATTTTAAAAGGTTATACTCCATTTATATAGTACTGACTGTATTCCTTGTGATGTATAATGGAGTATTTTACCTTAACTATGATTTCATTAGGGACACTTTTTTTGTCTGTTAGCCTTTAAATTTTAATTATTAAACTATAGCTGATTTACAGTATTGTGTTCACTTCAAGTGTCCAGCTTCAGATTCTTTTCCATTATAGGTCATCACAAGACAGTGAATATAGTTCCATGTGCTGTGTAAGATTTACCATTCTTCTATGACAAGTAAACAGAACTGAAGTGGGGAATTTCAAATAAATTTAGAAAGCAAGGCGGAGAGAAAACCTTAATCGTATGTTTTCTTCAATGTTTAGGTTGAAAATGTGATGATCAGCAATTTCCTTTAGACTTAGTGACATACCTCATCCACTGAGATGTCTTCCCCGCATTTCTTTAGGAAAAGCCACAACCCATCTTGAGCAGTAGAAAAAGAGATGCCCCCAGAAGCCACGAAGGCTGCCAAGGTTCTGAGCCTATGGGATCCTCTTACCTCGCTGTAGGAGGAATGAAAAGAAAAGCAGGCTCTGTAGGAACTCTCTCCAGTCCTAGTGGGAGATGCAGACACAAAATTAAAGGTCACTTAATCAAAACTAAGTTCTAAACTTCAAGTCCTTTCATGTAGGCTACTGCAGTGTGAAATCATCCTACCATCAGTAATTTCTCCTTTCTTCTGGAGAGGGGGGACCCTTTCCAGAAATGTAAATTTTTGTAGACATTCTGAATATCAAACATTAAGGAAATTTGCTAAAACATAATGATCAGTGTGGGGCTCCCCTACTCCACCAAGGGCTTCTGCTTCCTACAACATCCATTCATGACTCCCCGCCAAGCAAGACACCCCAACTCTAACCCTCTTGTCTGTCTAATGCAGGTAGACTCTGGGAGATACTGGCCAATAGATAGGTTTGGAAGCAGCATTTCTGTAGTTCAAATAGAGTGTAAATTTCAGAGGTTATTTTCCACAATTGTAATGTATCCTCTTCTTGGGCTTAGACTAGACTGCATTTACTAAACCATTGATTTAATTGATGCCTTCAAATTGTGGTGCTGCAGAAGACTCTTGAGAGTCACCTGGACTGCAAGGAGTTCAAACCAGTCAATCCTAAAGGAGATCAGTCCTGAATATTCATTGGAAGAACTCATGCTGAAGCTGAAGCTCCAATCCTTTGGTCACCTGATACGAAGAGGCAACTCACTGGAAGAGACATTGAGGCTGGGAAAGACTGAAGGCAGGGGGAGAAGGGAGCAACAGAGGATGAGAAGGTTGGATGGCATCACCGACTCAATGGACGAGTTTGAGCAAGTTCTGGGAGACAGTGAAGGACAGGGAAGTCTGGTGTGCTGCAGGCCATGCAGTTGCAAAGAGTCAGAAATGACTTAGTGATTGAACAACATTTCTCTCCAAAGACACTGCTTGCTTACCTCACAATGATGTTGGTTTTTCTAGTCCTTTCTCCAAACCACATGGTAGATGGCTTAATGCTGATTGTGTGGAGTGGAATTCTATTTTTGGAAGTAATGCCACATGGTAACTTATTCCACTGAAAATATTCCTCTGCCTAAAAACATTTTAAAAATACAGAAAAACAGTTTAACATTTTCAACAAATGTGTTTGTAGGCAGGGTCTCAAAAACAAACATAGATGAATTTTCAGACATAGATAATAGACAGACAGACATGAGGAAACAGGTAAGTCCAAAGTGAGGAACATTCCACAAAATAACCGGCCCTGGACTCTTCAAAAATGTTGATGTAATGAAAGAAAAACAAAAGACTGGAGACTTACTTGATCTACATCAAAGGAAACTAAGGAGATCTGAGTGAATGCAACACATGATTCTAAATATAATCCTGGGGACTTCTCTGATGGTCTAGTGGCCAAGACTCTACACTCCCGATGCAGGGGGCCCAGGTTCCATACATGGTCAGGGAACTGTCTCCTACATGCCGTAATTAAGAGGTCATACACTATGCTAAGATCTGGCGCACCCAAATAAATAAATATACATATTTTTAAATCCTGGATAGCCTTGCTTCTCCCTCCACAAGCCATAAAGGACACGATTAGGACAACTGGATATTTGAATATGGAGGACATCGCATCCAACAGTGTTCTATAGATGCTGAATTTCCTGAGTGTGAGAATTGTACTGTGGTCATATAAGAGAATATCCTTGTTTAGGGTGAAATGTCATGACTCAGATGGGTTGGAGGGGGTGGCGTGCTGGTTACACACACACATAAGAGAGATGAGGCTGCCAGAAAACAGACATGGTGGTGGTAACACACAGTGGAATCCAGGTGAAGAGGACGAGGTGTTCATATGACCCAGTGATTCCACTCCAGGGTATACATTCGGAAAAAAAAAAAACCAAGAACACTAATTTGAAAAGATATATGCACCCCAATGTTCACAGCAGCATTACTTATAATTGCCAACATGTGGAAGCAACAAGATGTGGTACATATATACGCTATGAGTTATGAGAGGGAAGTTTGGGGAAGAATGGATACATGTATATGGCTGAGTCCCTTCACAGTTCACCTGAAACTATCACAACACTGTTAATTGGTTATACCCCAATACAAAATAAAAAGTTAGAAAAGAAAAAAATAATACAAAACAAGAGCATTATCAGCTCAACTAAAGCTAATAATGTGCCATAAGAAAAGAATGAAATTTTGTCATTTGCAACAATGTGCATGGACTTTTAGGGTATTATGTTAAGTGAAATAAGTCAGACAGAAAGACAAATACTATATGATATCACTTATTTGTAGAATCTAAAAAATACAGCAAACTAATGAATATAACAAAAAAGAAGCAGCTCACAGATACAGAGAACAAACTAGTGTTAACAGTAGGGAGAGGGAAGGGGGAGGGGTGGATAGGAGTAGAGGGTTAAGAGGTATAAACTACTAGATACAAAATGAGCTACAAGGACGTATTGTACAGCATGGGGAAATAGAGCCAATATTTTATAATAACTATAAATGGAGTACAACCTTTAAAACCTGTGAATCACAATACTGTACACCTGTAACATATAATATTGTACATCAACTATACAAAGTGTAGCACTCAGTTGCTCAGTCATGTCTGACTCTTTACAGTCCCATGGTCTGTAGCTCGCCAGGCTCCTCCAACCGTGACATTTTCCAGACAAGAATACTGGAGTGGGTTGCCATTTTCTACACCAAGCAAAAAGAAATCTGCCAATTAAGACATTTATGGGGTGTTGTTGGGGGAAAGACTACAAGTTCCACAGAAAAAGGGCAAAACAGTTTCTACTTTGTATGGACATTATTTTTATCCATCCATTAAATAACTGCAGTGGTGTGTGTCTGTGTGTATACATACACAAACAAAATGATGAAGTAAATTCACGATGGAAGTTATAATATGCAGCTGAACAATCATCAAAAGAGTTTCTTAGCTTGTATTTCTCCTGTGGTAGTTTGAAATAGAATACTCCATGGTATGAATAAGAATCCGTTTTTTAAATTTTGCTTTACTTTAGGGCAAAGAAACTTTAGGATTTTGGCTGATGGAGTTACATAGTATTACTACTACAGTGATTATCCAAATGCATAAATGTACTATTTACTAAAAATTACTCAGCATTTGAATGCCAAGATTAAAAATTTAGAGAAAAATTATGATCACATGAACCCCTGCATTTGACAGTCACTAATTAGTAGTTAAGTTACACCGAATGACAATATAAATTAAAACGGAAATGTTAAAGCCCAATTCAAAATTGAATCCCTGGCAGTTAATAAGAGAAGGAAGTTCTATGGTGCCATCAGAAAACCAACTACCAGTGAGTTTCAAAGAAACTAAAAATATTCATTTGAAACTGGATCACCAATACATGCAACTACTTCAAAATTTAAGGGAATTCCCTGATGCTCCAGTGATTAAGACACCACACTTCCAATGCAGGGGGCATGGGTTTGATCCCAGGTCGGGGAACTAAGATCCTACATACTGTGTGGTGTGGCCAAAAAATTTTTTTTTTAAATTCAAAGCAAAGTTATATTTAGATATTTACCTCAAATGAGAAAAAAATAAAGTTTATAAATGTGCATGTGTCATGAGTTTCACAAGTAAACCACAATGGATGGTGATTATGTTGTTAAATTTTAAATTATAAGCTCTAATGTTACTACTTTCCTTACAAATAAACCGTTCGTTACATAATTCATTACAAATAAACATATATCAATTGTATAAATATATTTCATTAGAAATTACAAGTATCTGTCTATTTACTAATTAGGTTTATGATAATAGAATATAGTGATGTACTGCTGCATGACCCTGATCTAACACCGGGATCTCAGCCTCACTTTTCACATTGGGAAATTGAAGAGCCTAGAAAATGGGATTTCTGAGGTTCCTTCTAAACCTAAAATTCTGGTTTCTGTGAATCACACAAACAGTAAGAAAAAGAGTTCGCTGTGTACCTTTGGATGTCGACACGCATGGATCTGGGTGTCACGGTCTGTTGTCAGATGATGGAGAATGTCAGGCATGTTTCGAAACATGTCTAGTTTATCCACGTGAACCTGAGGAAAACAACACAAATAAGCATGTTATTGGAATTGTATTTCCTGTAAATAAAGTATTCAAGGGTAAATTGGGCAGGGGTAAAGCATCCAGTTAGAAAATAACTCTTTCTTCTTCCTCAAAGCCTAGTTTTCAACTTTCAACGCCTGTTAGTACCTGCCAGGACATCGAGATCCCATGCCCTGCAATCAGCGTTACTGCCCATTGTGGGAGGCAGTGAAAAGTGTGGTGACTTGGCTGGTGGATTTCATTGGATCTGTCCATCAAGTCATTCAATTCATATTTCTTGTGTATCTGTTCTACATCATGCTTTATTCTAAATATTGGGTTTATTGCAGTGTACATAGCAGACAAAAACAATGAAGATCACTTGCTGGACTTCCCTGGTGGTACAGTGGATAAGAATCTGTCTGCCAATCTTTCCCCTTTCTGCAGGGGAAAGGGGTTTGATCCCTGATCCACGAAGATCTCACATCCAGCAGACCAGCTAAGTCTGTGTGCCACAGCTACTGAAGCCCGCCTAAAGCCTGTGCTCTGCAACAAGAGAAGGCACCGCAATAAGAAGCCCGCACACTGCAAAGAAGGGTAACCCTACTTACTGCAAAAGAGAAATCCTGAGTGCAACAATGAAGAACCAGTTAAACCAAAAATTAACTAAGTAAATAATTTGATAATAATTTTAAAAAAGAGTCACTTGCTCGTGGAATTCCCTAGCAGGTTTAGTGGGTAGGACTTGGTGCTTTCACTGCCAGGGCCCAGGTTCGATTACTGGTCAGGGAAATAAGAGTCTGCAAGCAGTGAGGCATGACCAATAAGTGAATAAACAAATAAATAAAATGTTTATAAAAGGACTCACTTGCTCACGAAAACACACACAACATGCTGTATACTGGCAGCTGGCAGGAGGGGAGGCCAGCAGGAAGAGGAAGCAGAGACCCAGATCCTCCCTTTCCACACTCTTCTTTATTGGGTGAAAGGAGGACTCTGGCAGATGCAACAAAGCAAAACAGAACAAAGCTCAGCCACCTTCAGAATTTTAAAGCTAATACATTTTAAATTGTTAAAACCAACATGTCAGTTTTACTTAAATCGTCTCTTCTGGGTATTTTAGAGTAAACAAGTACCTAAATTGATAGAAGGATAATGAAATGGCACCTTCCCCAAAGCATTCTAACTTTGAAGTCTGAATAACAAAACAGATTAGACTAATGTTAAATCAGTGTGGAAATTAAATACCCAGACAGGTGTAGAAAGAATGCAAGCCTGACTGTGACTTAGCCTTATTCCTCTCACTGCCTGTTTTCCTAATGACTAACAAGAAGAAAAAACGAATGGATTTTTCTGGCCTAAGGAGATAAAAAAAGAGGTAAATTCTGAGATGTACAGAGAGACATAGGGAAACTTTCATCCTCTCGAAAGTGAAGGTGCTTGAAAAGGTTACTATAAATCATCCCTCAGATCTCATCTCAGATCCTTCTGTCAAAAAACCTCACTCTTCTCCCCATTTCTGTGTACTCTTTTCCCACCAGGCATGTACGATCTTAGTTCCTCGACCAGGGATGGAACCTGTGCCCCCTGCACTGGGAGTGCAGAGTCTTAACCACTGGATCACCAGAGAAGCCCCTATACTCCCTTGTTAAATTCCTTCTCTAAAGTTGTTTCTGTTCCCTACAGAGGGATTAAGAAACTTGCAAGAGGGCTCACTCCAGGGTCACCTCCCTAGGACCTGCCTCCTCTCCACCATCCCTGGGCACCTCCCAGGCCCAGGGTTTCTCCTTGCCAGGCCTCTGAGCCAGAGCTTCCAGTCTTGTAGATTTCACATACCACTGAAATTCACAAAACAAATTCAGGATTGACAGGTGGTGGCTAGCTTTATATTTTGCCAAGGAAGGACATGAGGGGGAAAAAAAGCAGACTGTAAAATGTATGTAAGTGGGCACACACATACACAATATATAATTACTGTGATTTTTATTTAAAAGGCCATTTTAACATCAAAACCACATAGGAACCACAATCTCAGGATGAAAGCAGATCTGTCCCAAAATGGAGAATTGGGAGCTTTATGCCAAAACATTTGGACAGGAAAACTTAAGGAAGAAATTAAGGAAAGGACTTAGGAAGTGAGGCTTATGGAGAGCCGGGGGGGTGGGGGTAGGGGGGCAGAAATTGTTTAAATTTCAAATGTAAAAGCACTAAATCTTTTTAGTTTTGCTAAATTATGTTGTATATAAGTGTTAAGTTCATGGCAGAAGTCTGTTAACCAGAGAATCGATAATAAAAGATGCCAAATGAAGTAATATTTAAATGTTCAACTCGTTCCAGCATTTGTTTTGTTCAGAGCCACCACCAAAAATCCATCTTCTCTCAGGGGTCATAGGCACTACCAGAAGCAGTCACTCTGCTCACTTTGCTGCCAGGGTTCCCAAGAGCCCAGCACTCAGCTCCCATGGAAGGGACAGGTGAACAATGACTCCCAGCCTGACCTGACGTGTTTCCTTCAAGGGGAAGGGGCTTAGTGCCCCAGGACAGTATTCTCCATACACTTTTGACCATGATCTCCAGTAAGAAATACGTTTTTGAATTGTGATCTTTTCCCAAGCTGGCAATGCACATTCCTTTCTTGGGATAGTGGGCAGCCCCTGGTCAGGCACGCGATCACGAGGGTGAACAGCTCACACACTTATTGAATGCTGTAAGTGAAAACCAGAATGGTTGTCCAGAACACACAACCATTCTGGTTTTCACTTACAGCATTCAATAAGTTACCTGAGACTCCCAGCACTTCATTGTAAGATAGCCTTTGTGTTAGATGGTTTTGTTCAACTGTAGGCTAATCTGTGTTTGGAGCACATTTCAGATAGATGAGGCTAAGCTATGATGTTCAGTGGGTCTCGGCTATTAAAGGAATTTTTGACTTAATGATAAGCAATGGACTTAGTAGGACAAAGCCCTGTGGTTAACTCAAGGAAGGTCTAAATAGGCACGTGTCTGATTCCTGATGTAAATTTTCACATGACAGTGATTACTTTTAACTGTAAGCAACCCCCCCCCAGATATTTCCTAGTCCAAATGTATTCTCATTGCTGGTCACAAACACTAAATTTCATGACCCGTGATTTTGAAAAAAAAATACATTCTTTAGGGGACTTCTCACCAAAGGGCTCTTCCCACTGTCAATTCTCCAAAAAGGAAGCAAATAAAGATGATAAAGGTCATGTTCAAGGCTCCCCTGGTGGCTCAGTGGTGAAGAATCCACATGCCAATGCAGGAGACACATGTTTGATCCTTGATCCCAGAAGATTCCACATGCCACGGAGCAAATAAACCTGCACCACAACTATTGAGCGCATGTGCCACAACTACTGAAGGCTGCGTGCCCCAGAGCCTGCGCTCCACAACAAGAGGAACCACTGCAACGAGAAGCCCATGCACTGCAATGAAGAGTAGCCCCAGCTTGCCACAACTAGAGAAGACCCCACACAGCAACGAAGACCCAGCACAACCAAAAATAAAGTAAGTAAGTAAAGACTACGTCCATCTGTTACGGTTTTCAGTCTGGGGGATGCTGGGAGCGGGCATGAAGAAGGGGAGCAGAGGAGGAGATGGGAGGATGGAAGCTCAGAGCAACAGAAAAGAAAGAGTCATCAGGTACCTGGAGTCCAAACTCCTCACTGAGGTTGGTGAAGAGATACTCGTAACCATAGGCAGCCTTGCAGTTCAGCCACACCACATGGTAGGGGCTCCGTGAGATCCAGCTTCGGACCAGCTCCAGGATTCCACGCAGACACTCCTCCTGGGCACGAAGGTTCAAAGGCAGTTAACACTGCTCCACGCCAGGCTTCCCAGATACCCACGGCAACAGGACAATTAACATCCCATCTGTTCCTCCCCAAACCGCCCTCTTAAGAAATGCAGCCGTGTTCCAAGAGACGTACCCGACTAGGAATTTGATAGTATTTTGGGTCGCAGAAAGTTGTGTCTAAGTACACGCTCTGGATGTCTTTCACTCTGAAAACAAAATTGAAACAAGGTATGTGACTCATTTCATGGGAAATAAAATACAAAGCCTACACTTTCAGTTATTTTACAGTTTGTTCTGTCATTTGGATTTTTTCTTATATCAACATTGGTTGGGAAATGATTTCCATATGATGAAATAATACAGCTCGTGCATATATGGTTCAGTGAATTTTGACCAGTTCATGTAATTACCACCCTGATCAACACATGGAATGTTACCATCCCCTCATTTCAGGAGGAAAAATGTGCCTTCCTGTTACAAATATTATTATAGTCCAGTTAGATTTCTAAGAGAAACAAAGGCTGATACTTAGTGGGGAGAAACGCACAATAAAACCTTTAAAACAATGCAGTCTTAAGGTTCCAGAACTCCACAAAGCCCAGTACCTGCCCCCAGAGTGCAGAAGCTCCATTCTGGCAGCTTCTCCTTTAGCCAATCTGAAGTCTCCTGTGTACAAGACAGTTCCATTGTTGCCCTGAAATAAAAACCTGGAAAGAAAATAGATCTCAGTGGCTTCTAAGTCTCATACAAAATTCTAATAAATTTATTCTAAATCCATATACTAAATGTATGTGCTGTGCTTAGTCACTCAGTTATGTCTGACTCTTTGTGACCCCATAGACTGTAGCCCTCCAGGCTCCTCTGCCCATGGGGATTCTCCAGGCAAGAATACTGGAGTGGGCTGCCATGCCCTCCTCCAGGGGATCTTCCCAACCCAGGGATCGAACCCAGGTCTCTCACACTGCAGGCAGATTCTTTACCATCTGAGCCACCAGGGAAGCCCAAGAATACTGGAGTGGGTAGCCTGTCCCTTCTCCAGGGGATCTTCCCGACCCAGGAATCAAACCAGGGTCTCCTGCATTGCAGGTGAATTCTTTACCAGCTAAGCTACCAGGGAAGCCCACTATACTTATGGGCTTACTTATGTATATACTAAATACAAATATATACTAAATCCATAGCCCATGTTGCCTGCCAACCACAGCCACTGTGGTACAGTGCTGATGTAACTCCCAAAGTGTTAAACCACACTGAACCCTCAGCTGCCACGTCTTCCCAAAGAGGGAAAAAATACATGGTGGAGATATCCCTGAGTTTGCAAGAGATGTCCACTAAAATGCATTACCATCTTCGACTGTATACAGAGATCATCCCTGCTCAAGGAGAGAAAGATCCACATGATGAGAAAATGCAAAGCCCATGGAAAGATTGCTACTGAAGTCTTCCACTGTAAGAAAGCCATGTTTCGAACTTGACCTGTGCCCCAGTCCCTCCTAGTTTAACACTGGAAATGAAGGTTAAAGGAACTGCCAGCACAAGAAGCAAATCTCCTGGTACATGTTATTTTCTAGACCCAACAAGTTTATTTCTACAAATGTAATACATATCAACACAAAATAAATGGGCAAAATAGATGAACCCCTTACATAACTGATCCTGGGCAATGACCAGCAGGTAAAAGAGTCACAACAATCTCTTCCTTCTAAAAAGAAAGAAAAAATAACAATAATAGAAGTTATCATTAGGACCCAGCTAAACAAAGCCCTCCTGAGTAGAATGTACACAAGTACTTCTCAAGAACATGCTATATCTTTCTCCTTTCCCCACTCTCCAAATTCTGGAAACAAGTGGAGTCCTCATTCATAAAACAAATGGTTAAAAGTAGAGTTCCAATACAACACAGCAATTCCACTCTTGGGAAGAAAGAAATGAAGTGATGGGCCTAGAGATCATCATACTGAGTGAGGGAAGTCAGGCAGAGAAGAAGAAATATAACATCCCCTACATGCATGATCTAAAAAGAAATGATAAAAATGAACTTATTTACAAAACAGAAGCAGACTCAGAGACTTAAAGAATGAACTTATGGTTACCAGTGGGGAAGAATGGGGGGAAGGGAAGCGATAGTTAGGGAGTTTGGGATGGACACGGACACAACGCTGTATTTAAAATGGATAACCAACAAGGTCCTATGGTGTAGCACAGGGAACTCTGATCAATGTTATGTGGCAGCCTGGATGGGAGGGGAGTTTGGGGGAGAATAGATACACGTGTATGTATGGCTGAGTCCCTTCGCGGTTCACCTGAAACCATCACAACATTGTTAATCGGCTATGCTCCATCATGGTAACTCCTCCAGTTATGTTTGACATCGTTCACTCCTCAGGCCCCTTTAAAACAGGCTCTCCCACTGGCTGGAGCTGGAGGCAAACACACAAGCCTCAGTGAGTGAGAAGAAACAGAAAGGACCAGAGTGGGACGGCAGGACTCTGATCACTGAGGGCCACCTGCTGCCTGCTGCCCAATTCTGAGAAAGCCATTCACTGACACAGGCCGCCAGGGACTAAGAGCATCTCTCCGAAGTGCCAGCTAATGGAGCTCAGGATGTCATTTAGGAAGGTTTCATGCTATCCCTTCCCCCTCCCTTGGAACAGTTACTGTAAAAGTACTTCAATGTCTGATCTCCTCTGGGGAGGACATGTGAAAAGTCCATCCCTGTCCCATGACAGCCACACCACCAACGATACTCTTCAGATTTAAACATGGCAACAAAGCAGGTTCTAATTGGGCTACGTAACAAATGTTAACTGGATTTTCTGTAAGACAGGAAAACACCTCCCAGCCTGATGTATAATTTGAGATAAAAATAAATACATACATAAATGGTGGGCCCACAATCCTAGTTACTATTAAAGAAAAAAATTGCACAACACAAAAGTACCTGCATCTGAATTTAAGGACAAAAAAATAAACTAGATCCACTTGAACAATGTCTTTTTCTTGAATAAGAAAATGATTCAGAAAAAAAGTCACCATATACATAAATCTGCTGCAAAAACATTAAACACTGTTTTATATACCTAACATTATAATAAATAAACTTAATACATGTGACAGTCATACTACATAGTAATCATACCATTACTATGGCACTCCTATAACTAGCATGAGACACTAATAGAAGCAATTCTGTCCTTAGAATTGAGTAGAAGCAATGTTCAGTCCCTTAGATGTAGAAAATAAATACATCACAAACTTTTTTTTCCTTACAAACTCATTCGTCTACCATAAATTTTATTTCTGGCTAAATGAGCATTCAAAGTCAAGGAGAAAGATAATCATTTAATGCTAAATAACAACTTTTAGAAATACAATATTTAATATTTAGTTACCTCGCCTGATGCTTCATCGACTAAAGATATCTGGGTAGGAGTTTCAATTTCAATTGATACCTATTAAAATAAGACATCAGGTATATATCATATTGTACACAGTCTTTCATGACTTTATATGCCTTTGCCATCTAAACACAGAAAGGGAACTAAGAGATATTACAGACTCTCAGTGGAACAATTTCTGATTTCACTATAAAAACAGTTTTACAGCTTGAAAACATGATAAAGTTATAATTATACCTTTCTTGAGGTTGATGTGTCAATATGCATATATTGGATGCCTTATAAACATGTACATGCTCACACACAGCATTTCTACTATGGATTCAATTTCCCCCCTTCACCTCCCCAGCCCTCCCATTCCCATTCAACTGAGTCTTTGTACAACATGTAGTCACATATTCTTTCTATTCAGATTTTCTGCTGCAGAGCACAGTCTGCCATCAGTCTGTGACGTGTTGGCCTAATTCACAGATTCAAGAAGCTATCCGCACACTTTATAGAATGGCAGCCAGCACAGAGTGGCATTCAGTAAGCAGTTGATCAATGAGGATAATTTTTCATCTTCTTAGTCCACTGATGTTATAATACCTACAGTGAGGTTCAGGTGTGAAAATAACTCATGATGTACTATTTTTTAATACTGTTAGATTCCGTATTAGGATGTTCACATGTGCTCATATAGAAATGGCCTTTTTCCCCCATGTATTATCATTATCCATTTGACAGTGAAGTTGAGCAGCTTATCTTTTTATTCTCTCCTACAATAGGGATTATTTGTTCTTTGACTATTTGGCAAAAGGCAAGATAAAACCATCTGGGCCTGGGGATGTTTTTGAAGAAGAGATCTTTGAAAACTGTTTTCATGTCTCTGATGGCTCCTTCTTCACTCAAGTTGTCTACTTTTCTTGCCTCAATTTGGGATTTTCCTACTTTTCCAGGTATCTACCCACTCTATCTAAATTATCGAATATACTATATTAATTTTCAAAACAAGGCACTGCTGTTCATTAAGTTATTTTCCTTTATATCATCTGTTATTTTTATATGCATCTTTGTTTTTTCAGTCTTGGCAGAAGTTTATCTTTGTTTCTCTACAGACCAGCTTTCACTTTTATTCATCTTCCTTTTTATTTTCCGTGGTAGTTTATTTTCTATGGTAGGTAGGGTGGAACCCAGGCGGGGACAAAGTGGCTTGTGTGGCCTGAGAAGATGGGAGTGAGTGGTCCAGGTTTTTACTGTGGTAGTGGGCCTGGGCTTGCATATTGGAATGTCGTCTAGGTGCCAAGGAAGGTGTAGACTTTTTTAAAAATCAGTTTGCCCACATGTAGAGCAGAAGAGAAAGGCGGACATGGGAGCTGAAAGTTGCCAGCAGTCAGGACATCAGACTCTTGTTCAGGACTCTCTGATAGCTCCCCCAATTATTGATGGTTTAATCCATATAAGGACACCTAATTCTATCTACTCATTGCGGTTGTTCCTCTGATCAGTCACTGAGTGATCAGGGACTACTATATCTGGTCTGTTAGTTGCATATTATGTTTATATCTTTTCTCTGTTTTTGGCTGCACTTTGCAGCTTGCAGGATCTTAGTTCCCCAACCACAAAGTGGCATCTTCGTGATACTTTTAAGAATTTGTCCCTTTGAATAGTAAAAAACACACTCTTTGAAATTAATGATATTTTTTGCCTTCAACTCTCTGCATGATATAATAGTTGCTACTCTGGCATTTTTAGTTTCTAATTTTTCAGTGTATCTTTTCCCTTTATTTTCCCCCCACTTCAACCTGCATTTTTCCTTTAGTGTTATCTGTGTCGTGTAGACCAAAACTTGGGGATCTATTGTTTTTTAAACCTAAATCAAGAATTTGTCTTCTGATCAAAAGTTGAAATAAATCCATTTATATTTAGAGCAGTGACTGTTATGACATAACCTTGCCTGCCATCTTCACATTTTCGTACCATGCTTTGTTTTCCTCCCCTTTACTATAACTTTCTATTGGAGAGATCCATTTTATATGGCCAGATTCAAAATGATCCCTTCTACTTTTATTTTGGTTCTTTATTATAAATCATGCTATGTTTACTTTTCTTATAAACCATAAGCTATGTTATTTTTTCTAATCTATTCCATGATCTAAATAAAAGGTTTATTAATTCTGTCAATAAACAGTTTACACTTTAAAGCATTAAAATGCAACTCAGCAAGACAGCCTGTGAGATTAGACAAAACTAAGCATCTAGGTCAACATGTTGGGGGACAAGAAAGAAAAATCAACAACAATAAAACGTCAACTTCTTCTAAACTAATGAACTGCAAAGGCTAAATATCAACACGGTGTTTTTTACTGTGGATAAATACATTGTGTGGGGAAGTGGGCTTTGAATAACAACAATATTTGGTTCAACACATCTTGAAAACATTTCCCACTTGAAAAAAAGGATTAGTGTCATTCAAAAAATAAAACTTACAATTCGTTTCTCCCAAAACCTGTACTTCGGGCTCGTTAACAACAACTCTTTAGTAACAGGTGAACAGTATAAGCAAACCTTCAAGCTGGGGAGAAGAGACAAAAGAAAAAAGTCATTTGAGTGCAATTCAAAACGAGCCGCCATCCGAATGACTAGGAGCTATGTATCAATGTGTTGTCACTTGTCTCGAATAAGTCAGAAACTATGCTGGCACAAACATATTAGAATAGCTCTTAGCAGGCCAACAGTCCAGTGACCACTTCAGTCCCATGACGGTGGAAAGGGACAGGGAAGAAGCAGAGGACAGACTGGACAGGGCCTGCTGACCTCCTCAAAGGCTGGTCCTCGCCATTTTCATCCTAAAAACATACATTTTACAGGATCAGCTATGTCTGGAGAGATACCTGGGTAAACTACCTCTGCAGAAGGGGCAAGGGGACAGAAGACATCTGCCTTGTACTTCATATAAATCTATTCCGTTTATGTTTTTAGTGGGCAGAAATCAACTTCATGACAAACTTTAGAACTTCAACACTCCAGTTTCAGTTCAGTTCAGTTCAGTCACTCAGTCGTGTCCGACTCTTTGCAACCCCATGGACTGCAGCACACCAAGCCTCCCTGTTCATCACCATCTCCTGGTGTTTACTCAAACCCATGTCCATTGAATCGGTCATGCCATCCAACCATCTCATTCTTTGTCATCCTCTTCTCCTCCCGCCTTCAACCTTTCCCAGTATCAGGGTCTTTCTTTGCATCAGGTGGCCAAAGTATTGGAGTTTCAGCTTCAACATCAGTCCCTCCAATGAATATTCAGGACTGATTTCCTTTAGGATGAACTGGTTGGCTCTCCTTGCTGTCCAAGGGACCCTCAAGAGTCATCTCCAACACCACAGTTCAAAAGCATCAATTCTTCAGCACTCAGCTTTCTTTATAGTCCAACTCTTACAACCATACATGACTACTGGAAAAACCACAGCTTTGACTAGACGGACCTTTGTTGGCAAAGTAATGTCTCTGCTTTTTAATATGCTCTCTAGGTTGGTCGTAACTTCTCTGACAAGGAGCAAACGTCTTTTAATTTCATGGCTGCAGTCACTATCTGCAGTGATTTTGGAGTAAAAAAAAAAAAAAAAAAAGTCTGTCACTGTTTCCATTGTTTCCCCATCTACTTCCCATGAAGTGATGGGACCAGATGCCATGATCTTAGTTTTCTGAATGTTGAGTTTTAAGCCAACTTTTTCACTCTCCTCTTGCACTTTCATCAAGAGGCTGTTTAGTTCTTCCTCACTTTCTGCCATAAGAAATCAGCCTGCAATGCAGGAGACCCTGTTCAATTCCTGGGTTGGGAAGATCCGCTGGAGAAGGGAAAGGCTACCCACTCTAGTATTTTGACCTGGAGAATTCCATGGATTATATTAGTCCATGGGATCACAAAGAGTTCAGACACTCCAGTTTAGAGGTTAGGAATATAGTCTATGACAGATTATACTTTCCAAAGATGGCCATGTTAATATATATCCCCCCAACCATACATAGTCTTCTTTAACAAAATGGCCATGGAATTTCCACTGACAGGAGGGTTATGTGCTGACCTCCCCTTGAACTTGAACAGACCTTTGTCACTGCCTTAGCCAACAGAGTGTGATGGAAGTAATACTGTAGGGCTTCCAAGTCTAGATCTCTGGACAATATGGCTGCTGCTAGCTCTCTTTTATAGGTCTCTGGTGGCCAGAAGGTCAAGAATTTGCCTGAATGCAGGAGACCTGGGTTCAATCCCTGGGTGGATTGACACCTTGGAGAAGGACTTGGCAACCCACTGAAGTATTCTTGACTGGAGAGTCCCAAGGATAGAGGAACGTGGTGGGCTATGTCCATGGGGTCACAAAATAGAGTTGGACACAATTGAGCAACTAACACAGCTCTCATTTGGAAGGTATACTTTTTTTTCCTTTAAAAACTCCAGCTATCCTGAAACCACTACGCTGAAGAGATATTTTTAGAGGTGGAGATACCCAAAGGGCCCCAACTGTTTGAGTCTGCCTAACCCAGGTGTCAGACATTGAATGAATAAGCCTCCATGACGTAACATCAGCCCCATATAATACCCAGTCAGGCAGAGACCAGCCAACCCCACTATGCCCTGTCAGAGATCCTGACGCACAGAAACAAAAGAGAGGGCGAATACATGATTAGGGTTATTTTAAGCCACTGAGCTTATAGGTAGTTTGTTACACAGCAATAAATAACTAATATATAGGCTCTAAAATCATACAGACCTGGTGGGAATCCTAGTCCTGCCACTTTACTAGCTGTGTGACCTTGGGCAACTAATTTAACCCCTCTGGTTCCTCAGTTTCCCCATCTATAAAATAGAATTGATTTTACAACCAAAAGCTAAACAATGATGACAGAAGTCAGAAGAAAGGTTATCTGTGAGTGGGAAAGACTGAGTGGGGAGGGACAGAGTTCTGTACCAGGTTATTGCTGTTCTATTTCTCAGGCTGGGCAGAAGCTACACATGTGTTTACTAGAGAAAGTTCATCAGACTGTTTCCTTATGATGTAAGTACTTTTCTATGTAGATGTTACAGCTCAATTAAAATTTTTACTTAAAAAAGCACACACAAATAAATAGCAAGAAAAAATTACCTGCATTCCAACCTTCTTTTCAAGCTAGGGGCTCTTAATCCTTTCATATGATCTGAAAACATGAAAAGAGTCAGATATCATAAATACATTATTTTTTCAGAGGATTCCTTGACCCAAGGAAACCGAGTTGTCTGTTCTTTATAGACTTCCTTTAAGAGAAAATAAATGAGAGTTTCACTTTTATAGGAGCATTGATTTGTATGAGCTCTTACTTCTGCAAGTGAAGAATCCACTGAAGATAGGACAAGAAGCACCAAAGTTGGCCATCTCTGAGCCAACAGAAGCCATTCAAAAGGAGAATGAGCCTCTGTATCTTAGGGCAGAATCTAAAGCTACAGAAGAATGCATGACCAGGGTCTCACTTGGAACTGCTCCCATCATTTTCCTCTACTCTTTCTTATTTCAATCCAACCATCTTCGGACCATGCTCTCTCTGACCCCTTCAACTCCAGTCACTAAGTTAGTCCATCTGGAAATTCAAGTTTGCTTCCAGGGAATCCTTGAGGAAACCATTCAGGCTTAGGCCAGAATAAGAAGAGTTTCATTAACTTCTCAGCCAACTGTGACTGTTGGGTTGAAAATCATTAAAGAGACACCAGACTAAAACAAACATTAGAGTAGACAAACTTCACAAATATATACAGAACGTTCCATGCAAAAGCAACAGAACACATTCTTCTCAAATGCACAGGGAACATTTTCCAAGACATACATATACTAGGCCACAAAACAAGTCTCAATATATTTAAGAAGATTAAAATCATATCAAGCATCTTTTCCAATTACAATGGTATAAAACTAGAATTACAAGAAAACTAGAAAATTCGCAAATATATGGAGATTAAACAACACACTATTGAGCAACCAGTAGGCCAAAGAAGAAATCAAAAGAGAAATTTCAAAATACCTTGAAACAAATGAAATGGAAATAAAACATACCAAAATATGTGTGATGCACAAAAACAATTCTAAGGGGAAAGTGCAAGTGATAAATCTCTACCTTAAGAAATAAGAAAAATCAACCTAAGTTTACACTTCAAGGAACTAGAAAAATAACAAAGCCCAAAACTATTAGAAGGAAGGAAATAACAAAAATTAGAACAAAAAGAAATGAAATAGAGACTAAAAAGACAACAGAGAATAATCAGTGAAACTAACAGTTGGTTCTTTAAAAAGATAAACAAACTTGGCAACAAAAAAGAGAGACACACATAGGACTCAAATGAATAAAATCAGAAATAAAAGAAGAGTTATTACAACTGTTGCCACAGAAAAGAAAGAGTAAGGAACTACTATGAACAATTATACACCAACAAAGTGGACGGCCTAGAAGAGATTGATAAATTCTTAAAAACATACAACCTAGAAGGACTGAATCATGGTGAAACAGAAAATCTGAGCAGACTGATTACCAGTAAGAACATTAAATATCCTTTCTAATAGCAGTAATTTAAAAAATCCAACAAACAAAAGTCCCAGACCTGATGGCTTTGCTGCTGAATTCTACAAATATTCAAAGAACTCATTTTATGAAGCTAGTATTACCCTGATACCAAAACCAGACAAGGACACCGCACACAAAAAAAGAAAATTACAGCCTAATATCCCTGATGTACATAGAATAAAAAATCCTCAACAAAATATTAGCAAATAGAATTCAACAATATATTAAAAGGATCATACACCATGGTTAAGTGGGATTTATTCCAGGGATGCAAACTTGGTTCAACATCCACAAATCAATCAATGTGATAATCTCATTAACAAAATGAAGGATAAAAATCATATAATCATCTCAACAGATGCACAAAAGCACTGGACAAAACACAATATACATTTATGATAAAAAAATCTCAATAAACCAGGTACAGATGGAACATACCTTCATATAATAGAGGCCATATGTGACAAGCTCTCAGCAAACATCATAATCAGTGGTGAAAAGCGGAGAGCTATTTTTCTAAGATCAGGAACAAGACAAGAATGCTCACTCTTTTCCTTTTATTCAACATAGTATTGCAAGTCCCAGGCAGATCAAATAGACAAGAAAAAATACATCCAAAGAGGAAAGGAAGAAGTAAAGCTGATGCTACTTACAGACAGCATTATACATATATAGAAAACCCTAAAGACTCAATCAAAAAACTGTAGAATAAAGGAATTCATTAAAGTTGCAGGATATCAACATACAAAATTCTGTTGCATTTCTACACACTAATAACAAGCCATCAGAAAGAGAAATTAAGAAAACAGTCCCATTCACAACTACATAAAAAAGAATAAAATGCCTAGGAATAAATTTAACCAAGGAAATGAAGGCTTTTATATTTAAAACTATAAGACATTAATAAAGGAAATTGAAGATGACACAAATAAATGGAAAGCCATTCCACGTTCATAGACTGAAGGAATCAATATTGTTAAATTGTTCATACCACACAATCAACAGGCTCAGTGTAACCAATGTCAAAATTCCATTGACATTATCCATAGAAAAAGTTCAAATAATCATAAAATTTGTATAGAACCACAAAAGACCCCCAAATAGCCAAAGTAGTCCTGAAAAACAACAAAACTGGAGATATGTTTTCGGATTACAAAATGTATTTCAAAGCTATAGTAATTAAAACAGTATGGTACTGGCATAAAAACACATAGATAGATCAACAAAACAGAATAGTAAGCCCAGAAATAAACCCACATATATAGTGTCAATTAATCTATGATAAAAAGTGAAAGTGTTAGGCACTCAGTTGTGTCCGACTCTCTGTGACCCCATGGACTGTAGCCAGCCATGCTTCCCTGTCCATGGAGTTCTCCAGACAAGAATACTGGAGTGGGTTACCATGCCCACCTGAAAATTTAAGACAAATTACTCCCAAATCCATAGCTGTTTATATGTATATAAAATCTTTACTTTTTTATTTTTGGCTATGCTGGGTCTTTGTTGCTATGCTCAGAATGAAACCTAACCACTGTCTTATACTATACATAAGAATTAACTCAAAACATATTAAAGACTTGAATGTAAGATCTGAAACCATAAAATTTCCAGACAAAAACATAGGCAGTAAGCTACTTGATATTGGTCTTGATGATGATTTTTTTTAATCTGACACCAAAAGCAAAAATAAACAAATGATCAATACAGTGTGATTTTTTTTAATGGGCAGATCTAAATAGACATTTTCCCCAAGACATATAGATGGCCAACAGGCACATCAAAAGATGCTCCACATCATTAATCACCAGTGAAACGTAAATCAAACCGAGTATAAGATATTACCTCATATCATTAGAATGGTTATTATCAAAAAGAAAAATAACAAATGTTGAAAAGGATGTAGAGAGATGGGAACCCTTGTGCACTGTTGGTGGTAATGCAAATTAGTGCAGCCGATTTTATAGAAAACAATATGGAATTTCCTCAAAAAATTAAAATACAGGACTATCATATGATCTGGAAATTCCAAATCTGTGTATTTATCTGAAGAAAGATGTCTGCACCCCAGGTTCATTGCACTGTTACTTACAACAGCCAAGACATGGAAACAACGTAAGTGTCCACCCATGGATGAAAGGATAAAGAAAACTGTGGTTTACATGCATGAAGGATAGTATTCAGCCATAAAATTGCTGTCTAACCACAAATTAACAATCTTCATTGTAAGTTTTCTAAAAACTGATAAGTTTAGTAGGTTTAAAGCTAATTAAAACAAAAGTATTCTCTCTATATAACTTTTCTCCAGCTCTTAATAACATAAATGCTGCTGGAAATTAATTTTACTTAAAACTATAAATAAGTTGGTTATTTTGAAAGTCATTTCCTCCTCAAATCATTTACCAAAACTGACTTTCATTTGCATTTATGTAAACACTGCCCATTACCACCACTGATGAAAGCAAAGACAGTCAAGCTTGGTTGTTGGGGAGACAACGTTAAGTAGCATGGCAATAACCCACAAGAAAAATATCTAATTACCCTATTCACTACCAACACTGGAAAAGGTCAGTTTTCATTCCAATCCCAAAGAAAGACAATGCCAAAGGATATTCAAACTACCCCGCAATTGCACTCATCTCACATGCTAGCAAAGTATTGTTCAAAATTCTCCAAGTCAGGCTTCAACAGTACATGAACTGTGAACTTCCAAGCTGGATTTAGAAAAGGCAGAGGAACCAGAAGCAAAATTTCCAACATCCATTGGATCATCAAAAAAGCAAGAGAGTTCCAGAAAAACATCTACTTCTTCTTTATTGAGTATGCCAAAGCCTTTAACTGTGCGGATCACAACAAACTGGAAAATTCCTAAAGAGATGGGAATACGAGACCATCTTACCTCCCTCCTGAGAAATCTGTATGCAGGTCAAGAAGCAACAGTTAGAACTAGACATGGAACAACAGACTGGTTCCAAATTGGGAAAGGAGTACATCAATGCTGTATACTGTCACCCTGCTTATTTAACTTATATGCAAAGTACATCATGCAAAATGCCAGGCTGGATGAAGCACAAGATGGAATCAAGATTGCCAGAAGCATCAATAACCTCAGATATGCAGATAACACTACCCTTACGGCAGAAAGCAAAGAACTAAAGAGTCTCTTGATGAAAGTGAAAGAAGAGAGTGAAAAAGCTGGCTTAAAACTCAACATTCAGAAAACTAAGATCATGGCACCCAGTCCCATCATTTCATGGCAAATAGATAGGGAAATGAAACAGTGACAGACTTTTTTTTTGGACGCCAAAATCACTGCAGATAGTGATTGCAGCCATGAAATTAAAGGACACTTGCTCCTTGGAAGAAAAGTTAAGACCAACCTAGAGAGCATATTAAAAAGCAGTGACATTACTTTGTTCACAAAGGTCTGTCTAGTCAAAGCGATGGTTTTTCCAGTAGTCATGTATGGATGTGAGAGTTGGACTATAAAGAAAGCTGAGCGCTGAAGAACTGATGCTTTGGTGTTGGAGAAGACTCTTGAGGGTCCCTTGGACAGCAAGAAGATCCAACCAGTCCATCCTAAAGGAGATCAGTCCTGGGTGTTCATTGGAAGGACTGATGCTGAAGCTGAAACTCTACTACTTTAGCCACCTGATGTGAAGAACTGACTCATTGAAAAAGACTCTGATGCTGGAAAAGATTGAAGGCAGCAGGAGAAGGGGACAACAGAAGATGAGATGGTTGGATGGCATCACCAACTCGATGGACATGAGTTTGAGCAAGCTCTGGGAGCTGGTGATGGACAGGGAAGCCTGGCATGCTGCAGTCCATGGGGTCACAAGGAGTCAGACACAAAAGAGCAACTGAACTACCAACACACACACCCTCAAATGTGTATGCAATGATCCTTGAACTAATGAAAACAAGGCATCACCACAACTCACGTGGCTGACACTGACCAAACACATGCCTCTACAGGACAGTCCACCTGCCCCCTCAGAGGGTGCACCTCCTCACGTCACTCCTGGTCCAGGCTTTTCAGGACAATGAATGCATCCCAGAGCAGGACTCTCTGTTATGTAGTTTCTAAACTGTTTGTGTCATGACAAATAGAAGGTTGACTCAGGACTCTGCTCCATATTCCCAAACCAGTTCAGTGGGCAGCACTGTTCCATCAAGACAGCCCAGCCCAACACCCTAGACTCCTTCCTCATGGGGAGTCACGGGAACCTGGATGAGTTTACTTTGTGATGGTAGTGGCTCAGTGGTAAAAAAAAAAAAATCTGCCTGCAGTGCAGGAGACCCAGGTTTGATCCCTGAGTCAGGAAGATTCCGTGGAGGAGGAAGTGGCAACCCACTCCAGTGGTCTTGCCTGGGAAATCCCATGGACAGAGGAGCCTGGCAGGCTACAGTCCGTGGGGTCACAACAGCTGGATACGACTGAGCGACTCACCAACAACAAGGACTGCACCCAGAGTCTCTCTTCCAGGGCCTTTTTTGTTTTCCTTGACCAGAATAAATCATCTTAAATTGTCTCCAGAAGGGGTCTTCCCCACCTCTGGGCCACTGTCTTAAGGCTATGGGTCCCCTCTTGTCCTCCAGGACTCACTGGTGCTTAGTCAGGTCTTCCCTGAGCACAGCGCTGGATTCCAGATGGGCCATGAACAAGCATCAAGCAGGTCCATGGCCCACCTCAACTTTCATCAAGATGCGATACTAACAGTCTTTGTGCATGTGTTAACAACAGGTCATAGATCTTGTCAGACATACTGTATCAGTCAGCTCAGACTGCAATAACAAAATATCAGAGTCTGCGAGGCTTAAACATAAATGCATTTCTAACACTTCTGGAAGCTAAAGTTCAAGATTAAGGTGACTAGACTGGTTTCTGGGGATGCCTCTCCTCCTGCCTTACAAACAGCCATATTCTTGCTATGTGCTCACACCTTTCCTCACTGTGCATATGGAGGGAGAGAGCACTCCTCCTTTTCTTCTAAGGCCACCAATCCTATCAAATTGGAACCTCACCTTTACAATCTCATTTAACCTTCAAGTGCTGGTAACTCATTTGTGTCCGACTCTTTGCGACCCCATGCACTGTAGCCCACCAGGCTCCTCGTTCCATGGAATTTTCCAGAACACTGGAGTTAACCTTAATCACCTCCTAAAAGTCCCTTCTTCAAATGCAGCCACACTGGGAGTTAGGGACTCAGTATCTGAATTTGGGCTTGGGGGGGTGCGGTGCACAAGAAGTCTGTTTCCCAAAATGGTTATAAACCACCAGTGGGCAATGTGGCAAACCTCAGAAAGCAGAAAGAGAGTTCTTGTCCTTGATTAGTCTACATCCTTATTGGGAAAACAGATTCACATGGGATCAGAGAACAGGAAAAGTTATTATAAAGAGATGGACAGGAAAGTCTTCCTTAATGTACAAACTAATGATGATTTAACAACTATTCCTCAATTTAAAAAAAATAAGTAAAAATATAAATACAAAAACAAACAAACATACAAATTCCTTTAGATGAATATGAACTCTTTCTCCAAACTCGCTACTGCAAAATACGAAGGCCAAGCCCTGAACCCATTCTTTCATTGTGGCCACCACATGTGAGTTCAGACACCTCCCAGGGAGACTCAACAGAAAAGGTAAAAATATTCTCACCCAGCAGTGAATTCCCAGTGAAAAACAAGGCAAAAACAAAAACGTTATCAAGACACAGAAAGACTGTACAGAGGTTCCTATGCTCTTTAGTGAATCAGGAAAGGAGGTCCAGATTTTTCTCACTAAAAAGAGAAACAAAAAAGGAGTTGAGAGCTGGAAAGCAGAGGCATTTCCCCACAGCAGAAATTTCATCAATTTACACTACCTTAAAGTGACTGATTCCACACACAAGACAATAGCTGGTCTTCACATCAACCGCGCGACGAGGAGCAAGTTTTGGTATCTGCAGTTGACTTTAATATCACACGGTGTGATTTGTACATGAATAAGTATCTGAGTCACTCCTCAAAATAGGGGTTGGGGATCCTACTTAAGCTACTCTGGAAGTCCACACTCAAGAGGCAGCTTCCAGACTGCTTCAGTGAAGCTTCATCTCTGGTCAATGCCCAAGGCTGTGCTAATTAGCACAATGAATATGGAACCTGTTTTCATAGGTAAAGTTAGTGACCTATCAGTCAGTATGTCAGATGTTAAAATGGAAAGTGGTTGTGAAATCAGCAGGCACCCCAGCCCTGGAGACTGGCTAAAACATTTTAGAGATGCTCCAGCCTTGCCTGGAGCAGTTAGCCTTGGGACCCTATCATTAGGGGGTGATGCCATGCTTAATTCCTAACAACTTCCAGCTGTGAAACATTAGTATTCTAGTTACCTGACCTGGCTCTCTATAAAAGAAACCTGCATCCCACTTCTAGACAGAAGATCTATAAGGGAGGGGAGCTTGCACTTCGTTGAGCTTACAGACAGGACTTTTCAGTGCCTGCATGCTTGCTAATCTGTGTGTAGGAGTATGGCACAAGACGCTTCTCCTCTGAAAAAAAGCTATGACAAACCTAGACAGCATGTTAAAAAGCAGAGACATTACTTTGCCAAGATAGGTCTGTCCAGTCAAAGCTATGGTTTTTCCAGAAGTCATATATGGATGTGAGAGTTGGACTATAAAGAGAGCTGAACACCGAAGAATTGATGCTTCTGAACTGTGGTGCTGCAGAAGACTCTTGAGAGTCCCTTGGACTGCAAGGAGATCAAACCAGTCAGTACTAAAAGAAATCAGTCCTGAATATTCATTGGAAGGACTGTTGCTGAAGTTGAAGCACCAACACTTTGGCCACCTGATGCGAAGAATTGACTCACTGGAAAAGACCCTGATGCTGGGCAAGATTGAAGGCAACAGAAGGGGACGACAGAGGATGAGATGGTTGGATGGCATCACTGACTGGACGGACATGAGTTTGAGCAAGCTCCGGGAGTTGGTGATAGACAGGGAAGCCTGGCGTGCTGCAGTCCATGGGGTCGCAAAGAGTCGGGCACGACTGAACGACTAAACTGAACTGTATGGAAGAATTTAATCTAAACTTGTCTCTAGAACATAATCCCGAGGATGTGGGGGAAGAACTAAGTAATACCCGTCAACCTCTGACTATTGGGCACTGGGAGAGCTTTCAAAAGAACCGAACAGTTGTGACAGCTCAAAGTGGCGTGGGTCAGTGGCAACTGGTAGTTGCTGTTCTATCCCGCAGTATGAGGGATGAGAAGATAAAACCTCAGATAGACTGAAGAGCCCGGCTGGGACCAAGTCCAAGCTCGTTTCTCGCACCGCCTCCCAAAGCCTGCACTTCCTCCTTTAAGACCCTCGCCTTCCCTCTCTCCAGATTTGGGTGACCTCCTCTAGGGGCCCGATCCTGCGCAGCCCGGGAGGAGGCGACGCGCTGCGCTCACTCACCTTTGTGGCAGTGGGACAGGAAGTAGGCACGGGCCCTCAGGTTCTCCCTGTCGAAGCGGTCTATGGAGATGGTTGGATACTCTGCCATCTGACCCTCGAAGGAACTCATAGCGTCGATCAACCTTTGCGGACTAGTTTCCTCGCAAGTGAGCCGCGGCAGCCCCAGCCTCCGCCCGACCCAGCCTCCGCCCGCCGCGCCGCCACTTCCGGGAACTTGCTACCGCCTCACCATTGGCCGGCCGGGAGCAGCAAAGTCCAATCAGAGCAGCTCCGCGTCCGGGGTGGGCGGTGCCAACGAGCTTCCTGTCAGTTCCGGCCTCCCGTCACCTGCCGGTTAAAACAGCCACCTGGGCTGCTCCGCGTTCACAGCTGAGAGGCTGGGTGGAATCTACGCTGTAGCGCGAGCAGTGGGGCTCCTCCCAGATACCTTGGCTCAACACATCGTCGCTTTGGTGAAGAGTTGCCTGGGTCTGTGCAGGAACAAGAATGCGAAGGGAGACAACGTCCAGAGCAGGCGACTACATCCAAGGATGCGAAGCGGGATGCGGTGCTTGGCTTTGAAATCGGACTGCGTTCCGCTTACTTCTTGTCTACTGTGTTTCTGAAAGCTTGCTTTGGCTTCTCTTCTTTCTCGTCCTTTCCCAGTGTCTTCTTTATGGGATAATCGTGAAGATTGTGTGAGAAAATTGTATCAGTCTTGTAGTATATTCTAAAACTAGTAGTCCACGTTTCCATTCATAATCTACAAACTGAGTAAACTACACAATCTCTGACAATCAAGCTCAGATGCATGATCTTAGGGTAGATAAGTAAAGATCCCAGGGAGAGTTTAGCTGCTAGCCTCCCCAACCTCCAACTCTTCTGAGGTGTTTTGTTGTTTTTTGTTGTTTTCTGGAAGTTAGAAAGATGTATAAAAGAAAAAAAAATGGTAGGGTGATAGATGAAAGTTCTGGAGTTTTTAAACATCAAAGCAACTTTATGGAAAGGTTTGCTAAAGTATTGTGTGGGCCTACATTCTCAGTCGTGTCTCTTTGTAACTCTATGGACTGTAGCCCACCAGGCTCCTCTGTCCGTAGGATTTCCCAGGCAAGAATAGTGGAGTAGGTTGCCATTTCCTCTTCCAGGGGATCTTCCCGAACCAGGGATGGAACCCATGACTCTTTTGTCTCCTGCACTGCAGATGGGTTCTTTATCACTGAGCCATTGGAGAAGTCTTGTGAAAGTATTAACGTTCCCCAAATAGTGGCAATAGCCTTACCTGCATCCCCTTTGCAGCAAGTCTCTTTAGACACCACAGTATTATTTTAATCACAACTCCAACACCCATGATTTGTGCTTAGCATTGTGCAAGCTACTACTTTATGCTAGCACTGTACAAACCCTGCCATGATGACAGAGATGACTAAGATGTGCTTATAAGCCATTTTAAATCAATTTGAAGATAGACCTTTGCAGGACATGGTAAATAAATGCTTCCACAGAGACACAAGATAATGTAGGAATAATTCCAGTAACAATTCATTCTAACCAGTGAAATCAAGAATTGGAATGTCACCCTCAGGGAATATTAACATGTTCCTGCAGCCCTGTCAGTCAGTTCTATTCAACTACAGATTCTGATGAAGTGCTGAGGAGAAGGAGGAGGAGGAGGAGGAGGAGAGGATGAGTAAGAAGAGAAAGGGGAGGGGGGGAGGAGTACACACCATTGTCACTACTCTGAGTAAAATACTCTTCTAGTATTGCCAACACCTTTGATCTGGTATAAGATGGTTTGTCATAGGATAAAAGAGGGTGTTGCTGTGGCTAGGCTGTCTATACCTAAAACCAGATCTTGCACTGATCCTGATATCTGTAGAATCCAATGTGTCTACTTCTGACAATGAAGCTCCTGGCCACAAGTCTTGATAAGGTTCATATTCTTATTTTTTTTATTTGTTCCTGTGTTTATCCTCTCCTCTTTCCACAATGGATACAATACAAGAAAATAAAGACAAATAGAGAGTTAGAATAAAATGATAGGATAGGATAGAAAATAGTGAAGATGGATAAGCATAGCCCAGAGGCATGTAATGTGTACTTTTAGGATGAGTGAGCCATATATTTAGGTTGTGCTTTTTTTTCAGTTGACAATATGAATAACTTGCATTATACACATACTATGTTCTATGCTATTTTTTTAGAAAAGAAAATACAGGCCCTGATTAGCAATTCATCTGAGCCACTACTATTTATGTGATCCTGGTTAAGGTAACCTCTCTGAAACTCAGTTTTCTCATCTTAAAATGGAGATAACAATAAAGCCCACACAATGCCCTGGAAAATGCTAAGAGTTCAATAAATATTAGACACTCAGTCGTGTCCAACTCTGTGCAACCCCATGAAGTGTAGCCCACCAAGCTCTTCTGTCCATGGGATTCTCCAGGCAAGAATACTGGAGTGAGTTGCCATTCCCTTCTCCAGGGGATCTTCCCAACTCAGAGATCCAACCTGGGTCTCCTGCATTGTAGGCAGATTCTTTACCATCTGAGCCACCAGGGAAGCCTCCAGTAAATATTAGCCATTATTATTTAGTGGGCACATACTACTATATGATCTCACTGGTATGTGGAATCTAAAGAAATCCAACTCTTGGAAACAAAGAACAGATTGGTGGTTGCCAGAGAAGGATGAGGGGTGTGGGAGAGATGAGTGAAGGTGGTCAAAAGGTACAAACTTCCAGTTATAAATGGAAAAGTTATGGAATGGGATGTACAGCATAGCAACTACAATTGACAATACTGTAGTGTATTCTTGCACTTAGTCGCTCAGTCGTGTCCAACTCTTTGTGACCCCATGGACTGTAGCCTGCCAGCCAGGCTCCTCTGTCCATGGGGATTCTCCAGGAAAGAATACTGGAGTGGGTTGCCATGCCCACTTCCAGGGGATCTTCACAACCCAGGGATCAAACCCAGGTCTACTGCATTGCAAACAGATTATTTACCATCTGAGGCACCAGGGAAGCCCAGTGTATACTTGAGAGTTACTGAAGAAGTAGATATTAAAATTTTCATCACAGGAAAAAAGCCTAACTATATGAAGTGATGGATGTTAGCTAGATTTATTGTAGTGATCATGTTGGTGCAGCATATACATGTTTCAAGATATTATGCTGTTCACCTTAAACTTATGCAATGTTATATAAAAATAATATCACAATACAATTGGGAGGAAAAAGGGATGAGTGATTAATACAACAAAACAACAGAGATGAGTCTCGAAATAATTATGCTGAGCAAAAGAAGCCAGACAAAAGAAGAGTACATACTATATTATGCCATTTATATAAAATTAAAGAAAAATGTAAACTGATCTAAAGTGACAGAAAGCAATCAACAGTCAACTTTGTACATAAGGAAACAAGTTCATTAACTTGATGTGGTCATGATTTCACAGGTATATACATATGCCACAACTTATTGAATTACATGCTGCTAAATATGTGCTTTTATTGCATTTCAATTATACTTCAATAGATTTGAAAAAAAAAATTAGAGAGTACATAGGGCTTCCCTGGTGGCTCAGCTGGTAAAGAATCCACCTGCAATGTGGGAGACCTGAGTTTGATCCCTGTGTTGGGAAGATCCCCTGGAGAAGGGAACAGCTACTCACTCCAGTATCCTGGCCTGGAGAATTCCATGTCCATGGGATCACAAAGAGTTGGACACAACTGAGTGGCTTTCACTCACTCAGATAGGAGAATGTGAACAAAGTAAACAAGATTGGTAGGGATATTCCTTCTCTATAGGAGCCGACTGATTAAGAAGACACTACCTAGCTATGAGGTTTCCCTGGGGGTCCAGTGGTTAAGATTCCACATTTCCAATGTAAGATTCAACACAATCCCTATCAAAATACCAAAAGCATTTTTCACAGAACTATAACAAGTAATTTTAAAATTTATGTGGAAACACAAAACACTCTGAAAGCCAACAATATTGAGAAAGAAGAACAGAGTTGGAGGAATAACACTCCCTGACTTCAGACTTGACTACAAAGCTACAATCATCAAAACAATATGGTACTGGCACAAGAACAGACTCATAGATCAGTGGAACAGGATAGAAATCCCAGAAATAAACCCATGCACTCATGGTCAATTAATCTACAACAAGGGAGGCAAGTATATCTAATGGAGAAAAGACAGTCTCTTCAACAGTGGTGTTGGGAAAATCAGACAGCTACATAGAAAAGATTCTAATTTCATTCTTTTACAACATCATATGCAAAGATAACTCAATATAGATTAAAGGCCTGAATGTAAGAAAAGAAACCATAAAACTCTTAGAAGAAAACACAGGTGTAATATTGTGACATAAATTGTAGCAATATTTTTTTTTTTTGGAGGCCTGCTCCTAAAGCAAAGGAAATAAAAGCAAAATAAACATATGGACCTAATTAAACTTTAAAACTATTGCACAGCAAAGATAGCCAGTGACAAGACCAAAATATAACCTACAAAATGGAAGAAAATATTTGCAAGTAATATGACTTATACAGCCCATGGTATCTCAAAAGAGTCAAACATGACTTAGAGACTAAACAACAACATAAATTTGGGTTAATATCCAAAATACATAAACAGTTCATACAATTAACAGCAACCTCCCCTAAACAACCCAATTTAAAAATGGGTAGAAGACCTGAATAGACATTCTTCCAAAGAAGACATACAGATGACCAACAGGGACTTGAAAAGATACTCAGGATCACTAATCAACAGAGAAATGCAAATTAATACTACAATGAGATAGTACCTTACACCTGTCAGGATGACTATCATCAAAAAGAACACAAATAATAAATACTGGTGAAGATGTAGAGAAAAGAGACCCCTTGTACACTATTGATGGAAATACAAGTTGGTGCAGCCACTGTGGAAAACAATATAGAAGTTTCTCAAAAAACTAAAGATAGGATATATATCCAAAATATCATATGACCCATCAGTTCCACTCATAGGTATATATCAAAAAAGAAACCCATTAATTCAAAAAGAATTAACCAGTGTTCATTGTTGTTGTTCAGCCACTCAGTTGTGTCCAACTCTCTGTGACCCCATGGACTGCAGCACACTGTCCTTCACCATCTCCCAAAGCTTACTCAAACTCAAGTCCATCGAGTTGGTGATCCATCCAACCAACTCATCCTCTGTCGTCCCCTTCTCCTGCCTTCAATCTTTCCCAACATCAGGGTCTTTTTCAATGAGTCAGCTCTTCACATTGGCCAAAGTATTGGAGCTTCAGCATCAGTCCTTTCAATGAATATTCAGGGTTGATTTTCTTTAGGATTGACTGGTTTGATCTCCTTGCAGTCCAAGGAACTCTCAAGAGTCTTCTCCAACATCACAGTTCAAAAGCATCAATTCTTCGGTGCTCAGTCTTCTTTATGGCCCAACTCTCACATCCATATATGACCACTGGAAAAACAATAGCTTTGACTAGATGCACCTTTGTTGGCAAAGTAATGTCTCTCCTTTTTAATATGCTGTCTAGGTTGGTCATAGCTTTTCTTCAAAGGAATAAGCATCCAGCACCATTATTTACAATTGCCAAGACATGGAATCAACAGATGAATGTATCTCCTAGCCACCATGCTATACTGCTTCCAAAGCATCACAGTAGCAGTGGTGGTGAAATATATTTATTCAGAATATGCTGTTTTAGTACCTACTTAGTGCTAGACACTGTTCTTGGAGTTTAATTAACAATATCTCTCTTGATGGAAACTACATTCTAGTGAAAGATAAATACTAAAATATAAACAGGCAATGGGGGTGGAATGAATTGGGAGACTGAGATTGACATATATACACTATTGATACAATGTGAAAAACAGATAACTAACAAGAACCTACTGTATAGCACAGGGAATTCTACTATGCTCCATGGTGACCTAAATGGGAAGGAAATCCAAAAAAGAGGGGATATATGCATATGTTTTCTGGTGGATCAGACGGTCAAGAATCTACCTGCAAGGCAGGAAACCTGGGTTCAACTCTGGGTTGGGAAGATCCCCTGGAGAAGGGAATATCAACCCATTTCAGTAGTCTTGCCTGGAGAATTCCACGGACAGGGGAGCCTGGTGGGTTACATTCCATGGGGTCACAAAGGGTCAGACATGACTGAGAGACTAACACTTTCACTTTCATATCTGATTCACTTTGCTGTGCAGTAAAAACTAACACAATATTGTATAGCAACTATATTTCAATAAATTTTTTTTAAAAAGAAACAACCAATATAAAAAAATTATACTAAGAAAAGGAAAAAAGCAATATGAAAATAGTATGTTAGGAGGTGATCAGACTTGTGGAAAAAAGAAACACTAGAAAATAGTAAGAGGACTAGAGAACACGATGGGAGGAGCGAGCTAGGTGGATGAAGATGGGTGAGTTGAGATATTAACAAAGAATTGAAGACAAGGAAGTGAGTCAAGGGGATAAATGGAAGGAGGTGGCTACAACTAGCTCCTTACTGTGGGAGCTAGGAGATGAACAGCCAGGTCACTGTTGCTGAGCAGTGTGATCCAGGGCTACAGCACAAGGGAGGAGTGATTGAATGCAAATCTTGTCAGGCTTTACTGGTTTTTACTCTGTAAAATGGGAAACCATTGCAGGATTAGGAGAAGAGAAATGACATAATTTTATTTAGGATTTAATAAGATCAAGTCTATTGTTTTGCTGAGAATAGACTGCAGGGGACAAGAGAAGCCTGTTGGGAACTACTGCAATAACCAGAAGGGGAAAAGTGATGATGGCTTGGGCTGGATGGATGCAGTAAAGCCAACAGATTTTGCAGATGGATGGATATGTTGCTGACAAATAGCAAGAGAAAATGGACTCTAGTGACCACTTACTGAAAGTGGGAGACCATGGAAGGGGAAGGATTAAGCATGAGTGTTTGGAGGGTAGTTGTTTTGGACAACCATACGGATGTTGAATAGTGCTTTCCTTGTGGCTCAGCTGGTAAAGAATTCGCCTGCAGTGCGGGAGACCTGGGTTTGATCCCTGGGTTGGGAAGATCTCCTCGAGAAGGGAAAGGCTACCCACTCCAGTATTTTAGCCTAGAGAATTCCATGAACTGTATAGGCCATGGAGTCGCAAAGAGTTGGACAAGACGGAGCAACTTTCACACACATGGATGATGAATACACCTTGGTTACATAAGTCTAGAGTTTAGAGATCTGGGTTAAGGAAACAAATTTGAGAGCTGTAAGTAAAGAGGCAGTATATTTAAATATAGTAATGAAGGTAATGTTGGAAAAAATAATTAAGGCTATAGATGTCATTTATCATAAGTTTACTAAATTGTCAGGCACTATTCTCAGACCTATGGATTGATTAAGAGTTAATTTAAGACAGATAGGAGATATTTAGTATTTAGTATCAGGGACCAGAAGCCCGATGGTCTCTATTCCCTGATCGGTTTTTTTAGGGAATGCTGTCTGTGACTGATGCAGTGGCAAGTGACACAGTCCTCTCTCCACCTCTAAGGGGTTGAGACAATTCCAAGGCTCCCTCAGGAGACCCGCTTTCAAGCTCCAAACTGGGTCCCGCCCACGCGCTTGCGCACAAAGGCCCATTCGCAGGGGGCGGGGCCTGAGTGAATACAAAGGGGCCTAAGTAAGCTGCGCTGGGCGTTGCCAGGTAAAGGAAGCGTTGCCAAGGCCGTGACAGTTGGCCTCTGGCTGGCCCAGCCCAGGCCACGGATCCCGAGTGGAAAGCACGAGCACCGCCGGGCTCGCTTGCAAGCTCCTGGGCGGGGCGCCCAGGCCTCTCAAGGATGGCAGAGCGAGGGTTACCCCTGCGAGCAGGACCCAAGGGTGAGAGGCTCCATTGCGGAGGGATGGGTGCGCCCTCTCCGAAGCCCTCCAGGCCCTGCCCTGAAGCCATCCAGGGTCCACCCCTTCTTCTTCAGGGTACCTGAGATTTGTCCGCCTACCTCCTCTATTTTCTCGTTTCCTCTTTGTATGGAAGGGTCTTTAATTTCAACTCTTGGTGGTGGTTTCCAGGAGGCTCTGTGCCCCCCTTTGTCCTTGAGGGGTCGCGATTCTGGGGCTCCTTTCTGAGTTCCTCCTGCAGGGCGACCATTTGATCCCCAGTGTTGAGGATACATTCTCCATCCCAGCCTTCTCTAGGCAGATTTTACCTTACAGACGTGGTTGCTGATTTCTGGCAGGGGAAAAAAGAAAAAAGTTTGAGGGACCAGAGAAGTCATTAGTCACCTTGCAGGGTCCCCGAAAGGAGGGGCTTTATGCGACAGAGGTACACAGCACACCTGGACGATGGACCACCAAGGCTTGGACTCTGGGAGCCAGTTTTGTTGTTCAACTGAACACCAACAACTTTGGGAACTGTGAGAAATTTAGAGGTTATCAAGTGACTTGCTAGTTAAAGGGCCCTTCTGCCATATCCTGCCTTGTCTAGGAACAGGAAAAAATAAAATGGGCAAAGAAATGGGAGATTAGCCTTACTGATGGCTCTTGGAGTTTGAAAAGTAAAAACGCTTTTCAACGTGAGGAGGTGACAGATGTTTGCACAGAAAGGAGTTTGACAGTACATCAAATGCTTCTTCTGTAAGATCTGAGCCTCAGATTGTCAGGGAATTAATATCAGTTGGATTTTTCAATACCCATGTAAGTCCTAATCCTGTTTAGTAAAATCTGATCTTTGCATAGTAGGGAGGCATTGCCATTTCCTATGTCTCCAGATACAACTTAGTATTAGGTTAAAAGTATTTCATATCAGTTATTTTTTGCTACAGCTATCATTAAAACTTACAAAGTGCTAAAGGTTACCATCAGAATTAGTGCAGTCACTGAATTTCTGAGAATCACTGAAATCTTTAAGGAATTTTAAGTTGATCTTTTCCTATTTTTAGTTTCATTCTGCTTTTAGTAAATAGAAAGCTGTAAGAAGGTTTCCCAGGTGGCACAGTGGTAAAGACTCCTCTTGGTTTTAATGTCATAAGCATTCATTGTTATAACTGAAATACAAATTCACTTACAGGATCTACTTTATTAGGTCTGACTTTAATGTATTTCAGCTAATAGAACCATACTGAAATAGAAAAATGAATTCAAGGAATCATGGTGAAAATTCACTATTTTAATAAATGATTATAATATATACTGATACATAGTATCATAATATTAAAATGTAATATAAATATATAATATGTACTATAAAATATTATTGTTCATTGTTCAGTCACTAAGTCATGTCTGAGTCTTTATGCCCCGTGGACTGCAGCACACCAGGCTTCTCTGTCCTTCTCTTTCTCCAGGAGTTTGCTCAAACTCATGTCCATTGAATCAGTGATGACATCCAACCATTTCATCCTCTGTTGCCCCCTTCTCCACCTGCCTTCCATCTTTCCCAGCATCAGGGTCTTTTCCAATGAGTTGGCTCTTCATCAGGCAGTCAAAGTATTGGAACTTCAGCTTCAGTCCTTCCAATGAGTATTCAGGGTTGATTTCCTTTAGAATTGATGGACTGGTTTGATCTCCTTGCTGTCCAAGGGGCTCTCAAGAGTCTTCTCCAGCACCACAGTTCAAAAGCATTAATTCTTGGGCATTCAAACTTATTTATGGTCCAACTCTAACATGTGCACATGACTACTGGGAAAACCATACATAGTTTTGACTACATGGACCTTTGTGATGCCTCTGCTTTTTAATACACTGTCTAGGTTTGTCATAGCTCTTCTTCCAAGAAGCAAGCAACTTTTAATTTCAGGCTGCAGTGATTTTGGAGCCCACTAAAATAAAATATGACACTGTTTCCATTTTTCACCATCTATTTGCCATGAAGTGATGGGACTGGATGCCATGATCTTGGTTTTTTGAATGTTGAATTTTAACCCAGCTTTTTCACTCTCATCTTACATATAAAAAATATTAAATGAATGATATTTTGGGGTAATAAGAAGTAGCTGAGAAAACAAGTGCAAGATTATGTCTTTGAAAAATTGGCTATACAAGTTTGGTGACTAGAAAATTACTTAAACTAGAGTTGAAAATTTAATTTCAGAAACTAAGTTGTTTTTATTTAAAAATTTTTTTAAAATATATATTTATTTTAATCAGAGGCTAATTACTTTACAATATGGTATTGGTTTTGCCATACATTGACATGAAACCACCAAGAGTGTACATGTGTTCCCCATCCTGAGCCCCCCTCCCACTCCCTCCCCATCTCGTCCCTCTGGGTCATCGCAGTGCACCATCTCCGAGCACCCTGTATCATGCATAGAACCTGGACTGGTGATTCATTTGACATATGATGATATACATGTTTCAGTGCCATTCTCCCATATCATCCCACCCTTGCCCTCTCCCACAGAATCCAAAAGACTGTTTAATACATCTGTGTCTCTCTTGCTGTCTCGCATACAGGTTTATTGTTACCATCTTTCTAAATTCCGTATATATGCGCTAGTATACTGTATTGGTGTTTTTCTTTCTGGCTTACTTCACTCTGTATAATAGGCTCCAGTTTCATCCACCTCATTAGAACTGATTCAAATGTATTCTTTTTAATGGCTGAGTAATATTCCATTGTATATATGTACCACAGCTTTC